CTAGAGGCCACTGTGTTTTACCTTATATTTAGTATTGTATGCTTCACCAACTTGAACCTGAAACCTTAGCATCACATGTCCAACACCATACAAAGTGAGCTACCGAGCAAGCTGACCATGCCAGAAAAGTTATCCATATGGTGACAGATACAGTCAGGGTGCTTTCACCTAGACTTTTGTTTCGGAATCTGTCTCGTTTGCCCAGTTAGCGCAGCTCGTTTGGCATATGTGAAACCAGCAATTGTGCTAGGATCCGCCTCAAAACAATTGGTCCAAGATCGCCTGAATGAGGTGGTCTTGGCTCTTTTGAAACAAACTCTGGAGAGGATCGATTGTAGTGAGAAAACGATACGATCCGAGCCTGGCTATATCACAGTGTATTATGGATATGTAATATTCATACAGCTATATGAAGAGAGAATTATGAGTAGGGTGGGATGTCATTCCTACCGGTAAATGTGCGTTTCATGTAAAATACGAAAGTGAAAGCATACTGAACTATTAACAAGAGCTGATAAGGATAATTGACCTAACAGAAAGCCTGTAATGCATTAGCCAACTGCTACTGTATGTATGAGAAAGTTCAGCCTGATCTCACGAGAAAACGTAAGTATTTTACGTTTTGCCAGTTTAGTGGCTAATTCGTACGAATTCGTACGAGTTCAGTCGTACAAAATGGTACAATTTTAAAAAGGAGGCGTGGCACCTAACCCCACCCCTAACCCCAACCGTCATTGGGGAATAAGCAAATCGTACTAAACTGTACGAATTAGATCGTACCAATTCATACGAATTAGCCACTAAATGAAAAAGTTACGAATTGCCGTGAGATTGTGTTGGAAAGTCTTACTTCTGCTCTATATATAGTGATGATGTCTGTGGGTGTCACCATTTGAAATGAAAGTGCAGCTTTTTGCTTATAATGTCTTTTTGCTCATTGCCATAACTTGGCAACTGAACGAGACTGCAAAATAAACCATGAAACACTGACCAATGTAAAGAAAATTTACTCACACATGCCTTGTTTTAGCTATTATGGTCCATTTAGAAACGTTGCAGTTGAAAGCAAACCTCACCAAGAACAAAAAGCAACAATGTAACAATTTTAATTCCTGTTTTGGAACAAATGAATCGATTGACAGGTGTGAAAGCACCCTAAGTCAGGCAACTTATTTGATAAAAACTGTACACATTTTTATAAGGTTTTATTTGATGTTGTGCAAAGAACTGCATGACAATAATTAATTATTTGTCAATATAATGTCTTTGTAAACATCATTAGTGTGAGAATGAACATAAGTCGTTAGCATCATACACCCCCTTACTATTCATTTTACCTAGAAACTGGAGTCAAAACATGTTGAAGTACACTTTGGCAGTTTTATACAATTGCAGGCTGAAGCATAATTGGCCAAACTGTGTTGTCTGAAAACCATTTGGAAAAAAAAGCATGAAATTCTACAAATTCATGTCAAATCATCATCAATTTACCAACACATAAAATAAGATTGACTGGTCTTATATAGTAATTAAATCTGGAAAGTGCAGTTGATCTTTAAATAGTCTGTGTTTTGCTTCCTTTTGATGGTGACCCAGAGACTCTTTCTTTTTAAAGACGCTACAACCTATTATTAGTGCTTTTAGTGTCTTTATTTTTGGTTCAACTAGTCGGGGAGAAAACTTCATGTCATTAATTTGAGCACACACCTTTCTAAAGTGTTCTTTTACAGTTTTTATGGTTTTAAGTGTAAGAGACAATTAGAAATGACATCTCTACCAGTTAGACGTATTAAGAAATGCTTTAGGCAGCATCATTTACACAATAAATATTGTGAAATGACCACACTGCCTTTTACAGATTAGACAGCATTCATCAGCACCAGAATGCTTGCAATCTGTCTTCAATGAATCTGGTCACACTTTACAAAAAGGTTACATTAGTTACAATACATTTGCTTATATTTGGTACATGTAACATCAATGCAAATAAAGTTGTTCGTGTTAGTTCTTTTTAACTCACACAAGCAAGATTTTCACTTTTAATAATTAATTTCTATGCATAAAAAATGCTTTTTAAGTATTGTTCATACTTTGTAGATATTACTAAATATATCAACCAACATTAATGTAACTATATTGTAAAGTGTGACTAATGTTAAACGCATAGACTGTGGGATTTAGGGGATGGTCAATTGTTACTAAGGGGCAATAGTGTGTCAAAAATATGCCTCTGTGTCATTGTCAGCACCACCAAAAGCTTGTCAGCAGAACCAATCCTTCAATTAGCCCAAATTCTGACCTTACTATTTGAAAGCTGGAGCAGAAAGCATGTCTGACCAGATCAGGCAAGTGATTTTTTTTCCATCTTCCATTTCCAACTTTTGTTGAGTTCTGTTCTTAGTTTACAAAAGTGCTGTAAACCAGTGTTGTTTTCTGCAACCATTACAAATCCCTATGCAATATCAAAATCACTCAATTATGTTTCTTCTCCTTTTTGATTTTTGGTTGAATTTAGCAGATTGTATTGTCTACAGTATGTCTACCTGCCAAAATGCATCTTGATTGATTCCATGTGATTGACTGATTAAAATGTTGTTGTTGTTGTTGTTGTTGTTGTTGTTGTTGTTGTTGTTGTTGTTGTTGTTGTTTTAAGGGGCAGTTAAACAGGTGTACCTAATAAAGTGGCCAGTGAGTGTAGCAGTGTGCAATAATAACTGTAGCATTGATGACTGGAAGAGAAGGCAGGATCTCGAGCACAAGATGGTCAGATTTTAATCTAGCGCATGTTTAAATGGAAAAAACATGAAAAGCATCAGATTTTACTGTAAACTGTTTATTTAGGCCAAAAAGCAGGCCTCTCAAGTCAAACCTTCCTGTCTTTAGTTGTGCTCATATCAGTTTGTTCAAGTACTGTTTAGCATCATAATTATGATTAACTGGAAAATGGGAAAGTGCTTAACCTTTAAAAAAATATACATGGCAAACACTCAAAAAAATTCTTAAGTATCTCAATTCTTACGTTTTTTTTTACTTAAATGTTTGGGCGACATGGTGGCTCAGTGGTCAGCACTGTCGCCTCACAGCAAGAAGGTCACTGGTTCGAGTCTCGACTGGGTCAGTTGGCATTTTTGTGTGGAGTTTGCATGTTTTCCCCTTGTGTTTGAATGAGTGTGCATGGATGTTTTTAAATACTGGGTTTCAGCTGGAACGGCATCCGCTGTGTAAAACATGCAGAGAAGTTGGCGGTTTATTCCACTGTGATGACCCCAGATGAATAAAGGGACTAAGCCAAATGAAAATAAATGAATGAACTCAAATGATTTATGTTCAATCAGCTTAAATTTCAAAATAATTAAGCTATCTTAATTTGTGTTGGTACTACTTAAATGAATTGTGTGGAACCCATCTTTTTTAGCTATAGTAAAAAAAACACTCAATGTTGAAACTCAATTGTTCAAACTACTTATTTAAAATGAGCTGAAACTTTTGTATTGGGTCAACAAGAATTAATTGTGTGGAACCCCACATTTTTTTACAGTTAATGCTGGGTTCCACACAAAGGATTTGTGTTGGGACAACATGAAATAATTAATTTAACCTATTAGTTTTTACAAATTTAGGTGGATTGAACATAAAACAGTTAAGTTGTCCCAACAAAATCTCAAAAACTGTGTTTCAGCTTATTTTAAATAAGATGTTTGAACAAGCAACAAAAAATATTTGTTTGAGTGTAATAAACATGTTTTTTGTTTGTTTGTTTGTTTGTTTTTTTGTTTTGCAAACGTATTATTTGTTTTTACAGCTAATAATGTTTAAACCATGATAATGAAGCAAAACCATACAGTATTTACCATAGTTTAACAACAATAACCTTTTTTTGTAAAACCAAACAGTTAAGTTTTCAGAACAGTTTTCTGTAAACTCTATTTGTGTTAAAGAGCCTAAGAAACTTATGGTCTATACAACGTGTTGTCCGTGTTGTATATTTAATATGACAAGTAAAAGTATTGATTCCACTGTGTGATTCTGAATCACTTTAAGACCTCAATGTGTGCCATACAGTAGCTTTAGTTACAGAAACTTAAACAGTGTTGACAACGTTTTCACGCTCTGGGTGTAACACATCTCTCATGGCAAGTTATAAATCTTTCATTGGCAAAGGGATATTCGACAACTGGATCTTATTTTTATTTTTAAATACTCTTTCTCTCTCTCTCTCTCTCTCTCTCTCTCTCTTTCTCTCTCTCTCTTTCTCTCTCTCACTCATTCACTCACTCTCTTGCTATCTCTGCCTCTCTATTTAATCCATTATGTCTGTTAGCCCAGTGAACACATGAGATGCATTATCAGTTATTATAAGGAGTGTGCTTAAAAACCCTCGACTGCTAGGGCAGCGGCATGATCATAACATTATCCAAAAATAATTTCTGCATGTTATCATGTTAACATGTCTGTTGGGCAACATAATTTAGTACGAGACAAAAATACTAAGATGAGATCCCACCACAAACATTCCACACCTCAACCATCATGTTTGCAAATGCTGAAAGTGATGAAAGAGAGTCAAATATGTGTGTAGTACACTATAAAATTAACACATAGCAGGCAGACCATATGTATTCCTGGTGTCCAGACTGTCTGGTGTCAGTCAGAGTATTACTACGAACACACACTGACGCCAAAGTCAGTGTTGTCTGTCATGGATCCATATTAAGATCTATGTCTCCATTTGATACACAAGAAACATGTTTAAAATAGAATATCTTCTATATTCACCACTCTAATTAAATATAACCTGTGCTAGTCATAGAAAATCTAGATAAAAATACACAGTCACTAAACAGATTAGTCACTTTAGCATGCAGTATTAGTTGTTAAACAGCACTGTATACACAGAGTACGCTAACAAATTAGCATGCTAATTCTTCTTTAAAATGCTTACTTGTAGCTATTCATGTGCATTTTTGAGATTACTAAGAAAAGTTTGAAATGTTTTACAGGTGAAAAGTGTCCTTGTTGAGAACACAGATCAGTGGAGATCTTCATCATGAATACAGGTAAGCCTGTTAGCTGCTAGCACAACAAAGTTATTTACTGTATTTTCAAGGACATATTTGAAGGACATAAAATAACATTTGATAACCAAATCTGACAAAAAAAAAGGATTCACATATGAGAACACATATGATTCTGGTTCAATAACAATTAAATGTCCAACCAAACGCACTGCATTGCTTCAACATATACATATCTGGTCAGAATTATTAGCCAACCTTTGAATTTTGGATTTTTTTTTTTTTTCTCTTTTAAAAATTTCCCAAATTATGTTTAACAGAGCAAGGAAATTTTCACAGTATGTCTGATAATATTTTTTTCTTCTGGAAAAAGTCTTATTTGTTTTATTTCGGCTAGAATAAAAGCAGTTTTAAATTTTTATAAAACTATTTAAGGTCAAAATGATTGGCCCCGTTTAAGCTATATTTTTTCGATAGTCTACAGAACAAACTATTATGTTTAGAAATGTGTTGGAAAAAATAGTGAAGATAGATAGAAGTTTTTTTGATCAAAACTGTACACATTTTTTATTAGTTTTTATCTAGCGTTAGGCAAAGAACTGCATGAAAATAACGATTTATTCATTAATAATACAGTGTGTCTTCGTAAATATCTTAAGTGTGGAAATGAACAAAAGTTGTTAGCACCATACAGCCCAATACTGTTGTATTTTACCTAGAAATTGCAGTCAAACACAGGTATAGTTTCACAAAATTGCAGGCCAAGGCATGAAGGGCCTAACAGTCTTGCCTAAAAACCTTTCGGTGGAACTGTTTAACTCCTCTGTTAAACAGAAATTGGGGGAAAAAATAAGCAGAGCTAATAATTCAGTGGGGGCTGATAATTCTGACTTCAACTATATACTGACAACTAATACTGCTTATTTTGTTTTTAGTTCAAAATCCTGCTTTTCTTCACTACATTAATTATTAAATATGTTCTGATCATCCAAAATTGCATGAGTACAGTAGGAACTTAATTTGAATTACTTCAACATTTTGTGACCGCCAAATTGTACCAGATGTACTCCATTTGCATGTTGTAACTATCATAATCATATGCGTCACTTTACCAATCACAAATCCTCTCCCAAGGCCTTGTGGGATTGTATAGTGTCCAATGGAAGCACACTTCTTAATCTCAAAAGAAGTAGTAAGTCATTCAGGTGCTTTCATTTTGCATATGTGTTGCATATAGTTTTGGATCCAGAGGGTATTATTGTAACATTTTGATATTTCCACATTGCTTTGCTAATCATTTACTGCTCAACTTGTAATGGCTAAAATAGTGCTATTCAAAAGTTTGTGGTCAGTAAGATATGGAAGTTTTTAACGTCTCTTGTGCTTTTTTTATTAGCAAAATTGCAATAAAAACAGTATTACTGTGAAATATTAGTAGTGGTTGTGATATATGTATGTGATATATATTTTACTAAATGTAATGTATTTCAACAGTAATTGCTTCAGTTTATAAGTGTTACAATAGGATCTTAAGTTCTGTGTCTTCATTTGGTACAAGAAAAATATTTAAAATGGAATATTCTCTATGATTGCCACTCTAATTACATATAACCTGTGCTAGTCGCAGAACATCTTGGTAAAAATACACAGTCGCTAAACAGGATTAGTCACTTGAGCATGCGGTATTAGCTGTTAAACAGTAGTGGATTCTTTTTAGTTGTAGTTTTCAAATGTGACATATTTTAATAAATGTAATGTATTTCAACAGCAATTACTTCAGTTTATAGTGTCACATTCAGAAATTATTCTTTAATACCTCGAACTGGCACTTAAAATGTTTTCATTATCATTATTTATTTTTGACAACATTATTTATAGCTAAACTGTCAATTATTTTTTTTAAACTAACACCAAACTTTTGATCAGTGCTGTACATATTTTCATTATTTGATTTTTTCGCAATGCCTGTTTGTGCAATAATGTTGCCTTTACAATGCATGTGCTTTGCTTTCTGATTGTTTTGCATGTGTGCTGCTGTGTGCGGGCTTGTGTGTGTGTGTGTGTGTGCAATCGAAGATACTCCAGATAGCGGAGGATGTGCTCATAAAAGAGCATCCCTGTCACTCACTCTGTGGCCTGTGAAGAGGGTCCAGAGCACCCCCAACCTGTACACTGCTGCAGGTATCAGGCATGGAGCCAACAAACACTGATCTTTTGAATCTATTCACTTATCAGTGTTTCCTTCTTCCCAGGGCTATTTATGTGCACATTTGACATGTGGACATGTTTTGTCCAAGATTCATATTTTTTGGTCAATGAATAGTTCTTCCCTAAAATGTATATTCTGTCATTATGCATTCTGTTGTCCTTTTCCTTGTCATTTTTTCCATGTTGTCTCCTTATCCCTGTCTTACTTTTAGTGGATATGTTGTTTTATCAAATAAATGTATAAAGATATACAAGAACAGAAAGATTGGATACAGATTTAAAAACAGCATAAATAAATTAAATAAATCCATTAAATTACATCCATTAATCCATTAAATTAAGTTATAACAATAGCCAATACAAAGTTAATGTAAGTCATCATGTGCCTTAATGCATTTATAATATAAAAATGCAGCAATTAATGATTAAGGCTAACTAAATCTAAATGCTAAAACTATAAATTGGTAATTTATAAGCATTTTTCTTGCTTAAAATAAGCAAATTGTTTTAATAGACTTACCATTAAGGTGATGAAAGTTATTTGGGTTACTTAATAAATAACAATATACAGGTTATGATATATACATATATATATATATATATATATAATGCAAACATTTTTTATTATTAATTAAATTTAAATCAATACAAAAAAAAGTTCAATGCAAAATGTCAAACTGTCTGTAAAATAAAAATCTATCTAAAAATTATTTTTTGTTGATTTCTAATTGCTTACCAGCCCACAAAGAGAATTTGACACTAGATATAGATTGCAGCTCTGCACAAGACATCTGGCCATAGAAGAAATGGTCGTGCCCAACTGAGCCTGGTTTCTCTCAAGATTTTTTTTAATTCTTCACTTTCGCCAACACACTGAACTGAGCTACACTGCATATGTTTTACGCAGCGGATGCCCTTCCAGCTGCAACCCATTTCTGGGAAACACCTATACACACTCAATCACACACATACACTAGGCCAATTTTAGCTTACCAAATTTACCTGTACTGCATGTATTTGGACTTATATGTGGACCGAACACGGGGAGAGCATGCAAACTCCACACAGAAATGCCAACTGACCCAGCTGAGGCTTGAACCAGTGACCTTCTTATTGTGAGGCAATTGTATATGTCACCGACACCGACATTGGGATGAAATGTTAAATTTCACATTTTTGAAAAAGAAATTAATATTAAAAAATGTATATAATAAATGTGAAATATATTTATTTGTTTGCATATAGTCAGTGAAACACTTTAGTGTTTATTAAACTCATTTGGTCATCTTCTGTTTCTTTTAAAGTCTTTAAATTTAATATTAAGCCTTGAAGGGCAAATACTTAATTTAATTCATGGGGCATATAATTCAATAAATATAATTCAATAATTCATATAAAACATAAAATTTAATAAATATTAACATATTAATTAGATCAAATTAACAGCTGCACTAGAAAAAAAATATTTAACTCAGCCTTGTATGCTTAATTCGAACAAGAACAAATATTCATCCTAAAACATGAAATAAATGTTATAGAAAGCAAAAAGTTCACTTTCTTAAGCATCAGCATATTGCTACAACACCAACTTATATATTTTGTGATTGTATTTCTTGAAAAGTAATGCTTCAATGAATTATCTGGAAGATAGAACCTTATAATTCCAAGTGGAAAATGACTTTTCAGAATGAGAAGGTTCTATCTGCATTTATCATGGTTTTTTACTCAATTTTGCAAATGTAAGAGAACTTTGATAATTTACATTTAAAGAACCCTTAAGGTCTCTGTCATGATAAAGTATGAAAGACAACTGTTTCACACATGTTGTTTGCTATATGGAATGCAAAAACTGTGAAGCTCAATATCTCAAAATCATTCAGAATGCAGATAGAACCTTATAATTCTAAGGTGATGGTATGTTTTTTTTTTTTTTTTTTTTTCTGAACATAGCTTGTCCTGTTACGGTTTTCCTATTGAATATAATCTACAATAAGTGGCCTTCTAACTTGCAATTAAGCTATTAATTAATCAATCAATCAGTCAATCAATCAATCAATCAAAGTAAAGCTCGGTATGTATTCAGCTGTACTAATAGACACTGTTTGGGTTTTAATCAACAGAACCCTTAAACGCTTTACACTTTCAATCAACATGTAATAGTATACCATGTAGAGCATCTGTATTTCAATGCTATACTAAGACCCCAACATTTTTACTTTTATATTCTGCTCGAGTGAGTCTGTTGAAAAAGTGACATGCTGTCAGGACCTGCCAAAGATACAACAACGCAGCTGTACATAAAGGAAAACTGCTGTCCACTCAAAAGCAGTCAAGCACGTATTCGCAGATGCACTGCTGTGCTCGCTTTGTGTTGAATTGTATAAGGCACAGGCGTGTTTGATTGAAATAAAATGGATATCAGTTTAAAAAGCACAACTGAGACGATCCCATTCACTTTCACTTGAAATCTCTGTCATTCTTTTGAAATAGAACAGCATAGGACTAGAATTAAATTGTAAAACTAAACTCATATTAAAGCTTTTTTTATGTCCAAGTTTATGTAATGTTGTATTTTTTATAATCAGCATTATGGAGTAGGTAACTAGTTATGTAACTTTGTGTGGTCTTACTAGCTCTCTCTGTGTTGTGTTCAGTACAGACTCTGCTCTTTAATCTTCTGTTCTCTGTAATTCTGCATCTCTCTTTTTAATTCCCATACTGTGGCCATTCATCTCTCTAGTTATATGTTTTCCAACCATTTTCAATGGGGCATCAATGGCAGGATGGCAGCAAAAGTAGTCAAATCTAAGGATTAACAACAACAAAAAGAGTAAAGAATTAAAGAGTAAAGTACTTTCAAATAAAAGTGTATTAAAATGTATTAAAAACTAGGCTATGTTCCTCCTTAATTTGACTCTGCACAATTTTGTTTATGATTTGTTCACATATTCACCCACTTTGGATGTTATGACTTGATTGAATAGGTGGTATCAGTGGATATCAGCTAATAGATATGGGCCAGTAGGAGCCTTCTACGCCTACTAGTAGGCTCAGAAGGCAGCTATCATCCATCCACATGGTTAATAAGCTATACTAATAGAGAAGACTCCATGATCTGTTTTTACATTACTGTGACAGTTGGGGTGAGGCAGACGTTAACAAAATTGGTTAAATAATATAAATAATACTTGTTAACTTCTGGCTGCAACCGTATGTGATTTATAGCTGATTAACCATGTGCGGCGCAGAAGGCCCCTACAGGCCCATATCTATCAGCTGATAACCACTGATAACACCCATTAAATCGTGTGATAACATTATATATATATATATATATTCACAAATACAGTGTTTTCACATATTTGTTGTGGTTTTCTGTGGTCAGTAGTGTTCTCTTAAATCATAAATGCAGTTTTTGGTAGCTTCTTTGTGTAATATTTTAAAATACTATGGTTATGTTTATACAGTACATCTTTATTTTCTACAGGTAGTGATTCCCAGTCGTCAGATTCAGGCAAGTAATTGTTTAAAAATGTCTCTGATTTCATCACTTTTATATGAATATCCATACAAACAATGGCCAATCATTTGTACAATTAAGCGTTCGGAAACCTAAAATGATGATGATGATGATGATGATGATGATGATGATGATGATGATGATGATAATAATAATAATAATAATAATAATTTAATATGTTTTAATTTTTTTTTTTTGCATGTGTGTATGTATGAGCAGATGCCTGGCGTTCACGGAGTGTCTCCGAGGGATTGAGAAATGGAGATGCCGGCAGCTCATCCTTGACCTCAAAAGGCTTTCGCAGTGTTAAACCCAACCTGCAGGACAAGAAATCTCCCACACCAGTACATATTTATTTATAATACATTTTTATTTAGTTATGGGCTGTTGTTAAATCACTTGCTTGATCACACTGCCATTATAGTATATGTTGTACCATTTTCATTTTTCACAACAGGTTATCCTCTTCCTCTTTTTTATTTTTTTAAAGTTACTTTGAATTTGTTCTGTTTTTTTCTACTTTAAAGCTAGTTTAAAGGGTGTTTAGAAATGAGATCTTATTAACTAAATATATTATGGGATAGTTCTCCTAAAAATGACAACTCCTTTACTCTCCCTCCACTTGTTCCAATTTTATTTTTTTTCTGTTTATGTTGAACACAAAATAAGAAATTTTAAAGAATGTTGGAAGCAGTTTACTTCTATAGTATTTTGTTTTACTATTGATGTCTACTGTGGTGTGCCAATTTCCTATTTCTGCACAATATTGTATTTTGTGTTCAATAGAATAAAGATACTCCTAAAGGTCTGCAAGGCTCCTAAGCATCATGGAATTTTTAAAATATTATGATATTTTAAACAGTATATTCCAGACATTAAAAGTCAAGGAAATATTTTATGTAGTTATTATGTTTTGGTCCAAATCAGGAAATATCAGTGTTTTTTGTTTGTAATTTTAGGTTTTAGTTTAATTTCATTAAAATATAATTGTTTATAGATATACATTATATATCATGCTGTTTAATGGCTATAAATATGGCTATTAATTTACTTTTAACAGCTCCATTTTAGCCAATTTCCACTAAGTGGTATGGTAAGGTGGGCTTTTTTGCCCATTTCCACAGTCAAAAAACAACCATACCATACCATTTTGGGCACCCTTTCCAAAAGGTAGCTAGCACAACAAAACGGTACCAAAAGGGTGGAGCTAAATATGCAGCTGAATGCTATTGGTTTAGAGAGAATCGTCATTAGCACATGCAACAAGCCAGGAGAATAAAAACACAGGTATGACACTGTAATACATACTGTATACCTGATCTCAAACTAATCTTGTTGTCTTCTTGTGACAAACAGCCACATAGATAATCAAAATTTTAAGAAGTTTGGCTTCAAAATAACCACTTGACTGGGTCTAAGACTGCATGCCAGATTAAAATGTACTGTAGATCAGTGTTTCTCAACCATGTTCGTGGAGGACCACCAGCTCTGCACATTTTCATGTCTTCTTAACCAAACACACCTGATTCAGATCATCAGCTCATTAGCAGAGACTAAAAGACCTGTAATGGGTGTGACAGACAAAGGAGACAACCAAAACATGCAGTGTTGGTGGTCCTCCAGTAACATGGTTGAGAAACACTGCTGTAGATGATAGAAAAGACAGTTTGTACATTTTGTAAAGCTACTTTTTTGATTATTTTCTCTAAATATGTCATAGATTATCAATTGTTGTTTAAAAAGTTTATTAGTTATTTAGTTAGTTAGTTTAGTTAGATTCATTAATCGTAAAGCATCCAAACATAAAATAGAGACACAACATTTTAGTTGCATCATGCATAATGATATTCCATGATAACATATATTTGTATTATTAAAATATACTTTTAAAATTATATTGTTAATATATAAGCAGCAGTGAACTGTTTTTCCATCTATTAGATGTCATGAAAAATCTGGTTTTTACTCAGTGAAAGTCTGTAAGTATTTGGGAACCCTGTGTTTGGAATCAGTTCATGATGATATGGTGATAAAGGATATGGGGGCATTTTTGGGTGAACTATCCTTTAAACCTCTGATTCAATGTACTCTGAACTGGTTTTGTATATATTTAAATGACCTTTTCTCCATCAGGTCCCCTTGCCTCCCCCTCGGAGAGAGAGCTATCACATGACCCCTAACCCTCCATCTTACAGTTCGCTTGCAATGCTGTCAAACGCCACATTCTCTCCCTCACAGAGTCATGATGCCATTTCCACAGGCTCTTACTCCATTCAGTCTAGTGCCACCTCCTCATACTCATACTCCAAGACCACCCGAACCTCCACTAACACCTCTGGAGCCCCTCTCGAGGAGTCCCCCTCCTCCCAGCAAGCTAATGCTAACAGTTTTATCTCTCGGGTCCTTGGAAGCAAATTGTCTTCCTCTAAATTTGCAACTGACCAACTAAACGCAGCACCTGTGACAAATATGATTACAACTGACCCTAAGACTAAAACTAAGCCAAAAGGAGCATTCACACCCTCACCGCTAGACCCCGCTAGCACTTCTGATTCACACATAGCCTCTCTCTCCATCCAGTTAGCTCCTCGCAGCCCCGAGCCCCGAGCAGAGAGCCGGTCTGAACCCAGGACAAATGCGGTGGACATCACTGACTCTACACGACCCCCTGTCATACCACCAAGACCAGCAGGCAGTTTGGTGGTATTACTGTCATTCATTTATAGTTATAATGTACACTTATACTACCAGTTAAAGGTTTGGAGTACATTTTAGAATGAAGCCTCTAATGATCAACTAAGACTGCATTTGTTTAAGAATGAAGTAAAACAATTATTGAATATTGTTTGAATTTCTTTTATAACATATTTTCAAATTCCTGTGAGGCTAAAGCTGAATTTTTAGCATCATTATTACTCCAGTTTTTAGTGTCAAATTATCTTTTAGAGTATGCTGGTTTGGTGCTCACTTATTATAGGAGAATTCTTCTTCTTCGGTTCTTCTTTTTCAGCTTTTTAGTCTGTCGCTCAACCATAGGTAACATGGCCAGCCGTTTGGTAACATTTTAATTATAAAGGCAAGAAACAAAACTAAATTTTGACAATTTCTAATTGCTTGTTTCAATACAATGCGAATGCACGCTATGAAACAATTGTTCATTTTGAATGGTCATTGCTGTTTGTTTAATTTTGCAATGTTCAAAGCACATTATCTTCTGAACATGGTTGAACAAGTTGAAAAATTAGGTTAAATTGTTAAATTGTCCTTTAAATTAAAAAAAAAAAAAAGCTTGCCAAAGTGTAATTAAGGCATTATAACCACAATGTTTTGGCTTGTTTAGACAAAGAGCATTTGGGAGAGCGCCATCTAGTGGTCAGGAGATACAAAAAAATGAGTCTTTTGGCTTAAAAATTCAGAAAGGATTTGCCAAATCACAAGACTAGTCACTTTAGATTTATAGCAGCAAACCGAGTCAATTCACACCTGATTCCCCATATCATTTATTTTGTGCATTAAACAGTTTGAATTTTGTTTGCATGGTTATGAAACTTGATATACAGTTAAAGTCAGAATTAGTAACCCCCCTGAATTATTAGCCCCCCCTGTTTATTTTTTTACCCAATTTATGTTTAACGGAGAGAGTACTACAGAATAATTCTGATTTCAACTGTATATCTTCAACATCATGCCTTATAGATTGTTTCAGGGAAGTAACACCTTTTGGTAAAAAATTATCATGCGATTTTTCAGATTTCATGTCAATAGATCAAATTTATTTAACTCATTAATGACTTTGATGGCAAGCTGCCAAACTACATCTGAGACTATATCCCTTTAAAGCTGTTATATATCGACCCCAATTTTTTTGTGCGCCGTCAATGCATCACATTTATCAAACCACATTAGTAGTGATTGTTTTTATTATTATCATTATTATTTTAACTTTCACTAAAATCTTATTTTGGCATCACGGTGGCACAGTGGGTAGCACGATCGCCTCACGGCAAGAAGGTCGCTGGTTCGAGTTCTGGCTGAGTCAGTTGGCATTTCTGTGTGGAGTTTGCATGTCCTCCCTCTGCTTGCATGGGTTTACACTGGGTGCTCCGGTTTTCCCCATAGTCCAAAGACATGTGCTGTAGGTGAATTGAATAAGCTAAATTGTCTATAGTGTAGGTGTGTGATTGTAAGATTGTATGGCTGTTTCCTAGTGTTAAATTTTTTTTTTTCATTCATTTATTTTCTTTTGGCTTAATCCCTTTAGTAATCTGGGGTCGCCACGCTAACTGACAGCATATGTCTTACACAGCGGATGCCCTTCCAGCTGCAATTTAATTGCTTGTTGCAACTGATCACATCATTTGCTATAGATTAGCTTCAGATTTGCTATAGTTTTTTGACCTCCAAAAATTTTCTGCTCAAGTTAAATTTTTTACTTGTCTGGAAGACGTACGTTTTTAGGGAAAGTCACCTGTATTTGTGTGTTTGTGTTTACTTTGTCATGCAAATACTTAAAGGTGCTGTATGTAGAGTTTTGACTTGTCTAAAGCAAAAAGTGTGTTTTGAACCTGAAGTGCAATACCTAGTTCAACCACTGGGTGTCAAACTTACATACTACACCTTTAATTCCCTATTTGAACCCTGAATTATGTCCACATTCTTCCTCTGGCATACTTAGATTCAGAATTGTTGCTTGCATCTATTGTGTGTTTTGAAATTGAAAGTGTGATTTTGGCCAAAAATTGTCTACAGCAAAACTTATTTGGAGCATTAATTACAATAAAATTTTGCGAGCACCAAACCAGGATTCTTACAATAGCACACAAACCTTTATTCAATAACATTCAAACTTTTGACTGGTAGTGTAAACAAACTAAGTGTAAAAAACACCCATTCACCTCCATCCGATGGGACAGAGTGAAAAACACACAGCATGATGAAAAGCCCTATGTGTTGACTGCTAACAACTAATTTTGCCATTTTTACAGCCAAGTATCTATTATTTTTTCCCAACAGATTGTTCTGTCCTTCACTCAACATGGTTCAATTTGCCTGCGTCACTTCTTGCTCACCAGCTTTGCTTTGTTCACGTTAATTTCTTATCTTCCTTCCCTTTTTATTTCCTCCCATCCGCCTCCATCAGCGTGAGTTTTCCCCTGTAAGAGGGGGCCCAGGACCGATTTCTTCTGGACCATCATCTCCAGACCCAGCAGCTCGTCGATCACCATATAGCCGGGCCAGTCAGGATTCCCCAGACTTCCTATCAGGGCTACTACCCAAAGCCCTCTCGCCGACTCCCTATGCCCCTCTGGAACGTTCGGGACTAATGTCGGCCTCACCTGCCGTGTCGCCAGTAACCGTATCGGCACTGAGTCAATATTCCTCATCCACGGCTGGGCTGGAGGAGTTGCAGATATGTGGCCTAGACTCCTCCCCCTTGGCCACACCCACTCCGTCCCCCACACTCAGCCACACCTCCAATGCTGCTGATGAGCTTCAATCCATCCCGTCTGCTGCCACAGGCACTAACGTAACTATCACGCTCGACTGGCGCACTTCACCTCAGTCTGGTCATGTTTGTTTCAAGCTACTTGTTGTATGTCCTCACTTGTCTTTCAGCGCTGATTGTCTAACATTTTGTCACGTGCTTAAATGTGTCAGGCTGTTATGTCTTGTGTTTTACACTTGGTTTTCGGTTTTATGTGTTCAAATATTCATTGCGTGCTATGTATGTTGTTTTAAAGGGGACTATTTAAAGGGGACCTTTTATGCCCCTTTTTAAAAGATGTAAAATAAGTCTCTGATGTCCCAAGTGTGTATGTAAAAAACCAAAATACCCAACAAATAATTTTTTAGAACAGCTGACATCTACCTGCATTTGGCTGGCTGGCAGGTGTTAATGTCAAGCCCTGTTCATACATATACATTTAATACATTGAAGTAAATTAAACGTTTGGTGTTTTTCAATACCTCAAATAGCTGTTTTTCAAACTGTTTTTTTTTTTAATATATTTTAAACTTTTCTAGACTAGCAGTGCTTAATTTCTGGCATTATTATTCTTCAGCATCCCATTTCAAAAATCATTCAAATATCTTGATTTCTAGGTCAAAAAACATTTTTTTTATTATTAATAATATAGAAAACTGTTATGCTGCTGAATATTTTGTCTGGAGTCACTGAGTTATTTTTAAGTTTTTTTGATTAATAGAAAGTGTGTTTTTTTTTTATCAAAATAAGCTATTAATATTGTTGCAATTATTTTTATCAGTTTAATGTATAAAACTTTTAATAAAAGATTTATTTTATTGTTTATTTTTATTTTTATGTATAATTAATGATAAATTGTCCAGGAAAGGGAATAAAACAGGGGAATTTTGATTTAGTTATTAAATGGGTTCCTATGATGACCTCTGTTTTTACATGACCTATCGTGATGATTGTATAATATTACCAAAATTTGCGTCTTTAATTTGCCATACATGACCTTTTGTGATGATTGTTTAATTAATATTAACATAATTTGAATCTTTAATTTGCCACTGCTAACTGAAGACATGTGTAATATGAACGTATAACTGAAGCTTAATCCAGTGTTAACATTCCTATTAGTAAATTGTCCTGCACTCATTAACTGCTAAAGTTTCTTTGAATAGTTGCTGTGCATTAACAGTTTTCAGTCTGTCAGTTGTTCTCTTATGTTATTACAGAAGCATCAACATCTGATCCCAAACTTTGTCTCTTTTGTATCAGCATTTTCCTCAGTAATGACACTTCTCAGATGCATTTGTGCTACAATATCTGTGATATTTTTCAATTTGTGTCTCCTAATGTGTGCCCTCATGTCTTACATTTTCTCATTCTACCTTCTTATCGTCTCATAGATTTCACCCACTCATATTTGTTTGTCTTACAGTGACTTTACAGATTACATTACCCACAGTTCCATCTCTTATAAAGTGTTTTGTATGTTACCCAGGGTCAAATGACAGTGAATGGAAGCTCTCAGTCTCAGAGGCCCTTCTCTCCACCTGCACACCCTCCTCCTCCACCACCACCAATCCTCAGCCCAGGCCTGGTACAGATCCAGCATGGGCATAGTTCTGGTGAGCAGAATGAACTACAAATGCCTTTGGCTTTAGTATTTGAGTATTAGCATAACATTAACCCTACTGATGTCTTTATTATTCTGCATACACTGAAAAAAAACCTGTTCATTAATAGTTCACAAGTAATTCACACGTGTTTTCTGTTTATTTACGGTTGTGAATTACATTATGGGATATTTATCTGTTTTCTGTCAACTTTAATTGTTGAAAATATAGTTTAGCATAGTGACTTTTATTATACATACATACATATATATATATATATATATATATATATATATATATATATATATATATATATATATATATATATATATATATATATATATATATATATATATATATATATATATATATATATATATAATCTTTGCCATGATGACAGTAAGTAATAATTTATTAGATGTTTTTCAAGACACTTCACTACAGCTCAAAGTGAAGCTTTTAAGGCTTAACTAGGTTAATTAGGTTAAAAACGCAAGTTAGGGTAATTAGGTAAGTTATCGTATAACGATGGTTTGTTCTGAAGATAACGAAAAATATATATATATAGCTTAAAGGGGCTAATAATATTGACCTTAAATTGGATTTTAAAAAATTAAAAACTGCTTTTATTCTAGCTGAAATAAAACAAATAAGCCTTTACCCAGAAGAAAAGAATCAGACATACTGTGAAATGTCCTTTCTCTGTTAAATATAATTTGGGAAATATTAAAAAAAAAAATCAATCATTCAATAAATCAAAGGGGGTGGATGTAATACACAAAGGTGAAGGGTGAAGAGGCATTTGTGTGATGTTACTTGCAAAATATTGCACGGCAATATATATATATATATAATAATTCTGACTTTAACTGTAATTGCTTTGTTTTGTGTTTTGTGTGTTTTTTTTCCTGTAATTTGCCATAAGTCATAAATAAAACTATACAACTGTGCTCAGTTGGGTTCACCTGAGTAAATTACACCTCTTTGCCATAAAAGTCCTGGTGCACACAAACTAGCAGACTAGCAGAAAGAAATGGTTATCAACCCAGTTTTAAATGAACTCTCGTATACAGTTCCACTGAACTATGAGTAACAGGTAGAAGACATGTAAATTAATCAAAAACAGGCCATGATGCCAAAAGACACAACCATGAAAAGGACAGAATTCAAAAGCTTAGTAGGGGCTTAGAAAATATATCTCCTTGCAGCAGATCTTTCTGTGTAAGTGTGATGGAGGGATTCCGGGGGAACGTTTGACTTCTTTTTTATAAATTAATGTATGACAAATGTTTTCTTCTTAATCAGATATTACCACATACTGTACAATAAGTGTGTTTAACCCAGCAAATTTTGGATGTTCTGTTTTAAAATATATAAAATACATGAAAGATGCATGTGTCTGTCTTTAGGTTCAGTCTTTAAAAAGTATGAATTCTAAATGAACAAGATCTAAATGTGAACACGTTTAAATGTGCAGTGCATTACAGAATTTATTTTATTTCATGCACTCTTAAAATCAAGATTCTTAAGCCCAACATTTTATTAAACATTTTATTAAAAACAATTATAAATAAATCTCAGTGGTTAAGTAGAATTTTATATAATAAAACATAAAACATAATTAAAAATCACAATTTGTACTCACTTAATGAATGTAAAAAAGTAACAGTCACCTGATTTCATTATATTATATTATATTATATTATATTATATTATATTATATTATATTATATTATATTATATTATATTATATTATATTATATTATATTATATTATATTATATTATATTATATTATTCATTTTCAACTTAGTCCTTAATTTATCAGGGGTCATCACAGCAAAATGAACCGCCAACTGATTTGACATTTGAGTTATTACTACACCCACATGGAATCTGCGCGCACAGAATTCCGCAGATTTTCCACAGATTTCCGCATATTTTTAGCCCATCATTAATTGTGTTTATTTACTTGAGTAAATGTTTAAATCTACAGGTATTCAGTTTTTAAATTAATTACAGTAATCTTATTGACTAATATGAAAATATTCATCTGATTTATCTACAATGCAATTTGTACAGTAATACAGTAATCTTTTAGTAGATATATATTATATAAGAGATTATCAAATAATGTGAATCTAATTGGATTTGCATTATAAACAATAACTAAAAGTTTAAAAGATATTATTTTTTTATTTCACATATTAGGGTCTTAGTTATGATACTCCCAAAATAATTTCACAGAAATCCGCAGATATTTACCAAAATTCTCTGCAGAAATAGCAAAAAATGTCAGCAAATTCCGTCTGGCCCTAGTTATTACCTATATCTCTAAACAAAGACTTCCTAAATTGTCTTTTTGTGCTTCTGCTGATTCATTCCCATTTTTGATGCTCTAAAACAACGATTTTTCTTGTTAGTGGACATCGGGCAATTATTGGCAATTAACGGTGCAGTTTGGTCCTCAGGATATGAATCATTTGCATCCATTAGGCCAGACCAGAGCAATCAATACCTGAACAGAGGGAAACTGAGGGGAGGCAAAGCTCTGACACTTTAGTGCAGATTTGCTTAGCAAGGCACATTTATACAGTTGTTGTAGTAGTTCAGTTTAAAGAAATATGCTGACAAATAGTGTGCTGTAGCATTTCCTCCCATCACTGCCTTTTTACAACCGCAAACCTGTACAAATGTGGGGATATAAATGTAGCTGTCTCATTTATGCCACATCATACTAATGTCATATACTTCATGATGCTTAGTCAGGGTTGGAGATTGTGCCATGTCAGTTTCCTGCTCGCTTAGATTAAATTGGACTGTCAAGTTGCCAGTTGTGTCACTATTTACCTATTTTGTAATTTAAGATAAATCGCAGACAAAACAAATATATTTCTTTCTTCGAAGACATTCTTTGCTATAATAGTGTGAAATGCTTGTGAACAGGCAGGTAATTGCCTTTATGATAAATTTTAGCATCTGACAAAGTCTAGACAGTAAGAGATTCTGCATAGTGTGACTGTATCTATGGCAGCAGTCAACTGAAGAGCCAATAGCAGCACAGCAGTCATTGATGATGTGTTTGTGAGAGAGCCATTCTGTTTAAAAGGTTCATTCTAGCTTGTCACACTGTTACTGAGGATCTCAGTGGGGTCATATGCGATACAGTTTGATACTTTTTAAAGGACAGAACAACATTGCAGTGCAGTTTACTCTTTTGTTTTAATTTTTTATCTATCTCTAAACTAGCTCTCTATCTTGCAGAGGGTTCACAGACACTGAGGAGAGAGTCTGTTGTCTCTGGTCAGACAGTGGTCAGTAGCTCCGTGCCCATCGCTCGCTTCTCAGAGGAAGAGAAGAAGGTCTCTGTCATAAAAGCTCCCCATTACGAAGGCATTGGACCAGTGGATGAGTCTGGCATTCCCATCGCCATCCGTACGGTGAGTATACTAGCATGTATGAGGGAACTAACATAAATGACTGATTTAATTCGATTATGATTGATGGAGTTTGCTTTAAAAGAAAATACAATTTCAGTGATTAATATTTATGTGTGCTATTTGTGAGATTTATTGTCAGTATTTGAGTGAAAATGGTCACATTTTAAATCCTACAACAATTGTTGGTAACATTTGTATTTAAGGTGTCCTTGTTACAGATTTTAAATGTACTTACTATAGTAGTTAAAAATATATATGCATAATTACATGCAACTAACCCTTAACATATAATCCGCAATCTAACCCTAACCGTATAGTAAGTATATGTAATGAATTAGTAGTATCTTAGTTGTTAAATTAATTGTCAAACTGTAACAAGAACATCTAAAATAATGTAATAATTAAATCAACTTAACAGTTTTATATAGGCTACTGCATTCTGTACAAATAGTTGATCATTCATCATGATAATTTATCATGCAACTTGAGTAAAATCTTTGCTCACATGATAATTTTTGAAAGTATATACTGGCTGATTTTGTCTTTTGATTGATGTAAGTAGTTTGTCCATGCTAAACTACTGCAGCATGAAATATATCATTTGTATTATTAACTCAGTTCATTCTGAGTTTGTTTTAATTTAATTAATTTAGGAAAGGGGTAAAACTGAGTTTGAGGTTATTCTGGGTACTCACAAATGGACTTATAACAATACAGGCTTTATTCTTACATCTTCATACTAAATCAAGAACTGCTTTAAACACATTGACTTTGTAACACATACTAAATGAGATCTGTCAAATAGCAAATCTTCTATAGCATTATCTTTGATAGGACAATTGTAGTGATTATTCACTGTATAATCTTGCTAATTTGCTTTGTTTTTGTACTACTTTACATAAAGAAAGACTGTATGTAAGTCAAAGTGTGTTTCCTTTCAATGATCCTGTCTCAAGTATATGAATAATATTATTTTGTGAAGTAAAAGTGTATATTTTTTGACTGCTTACAAAAAAAGTTAGCCTGACATTTTGTGTTATTATGTCTTTTGTTCAGGCTATCAGCATTTGTGACCCTGAACCAAAAAATCATATGAGTTAAAATGTTTGCAACTGACATTTAGTAGAGATGCAACTATTTATAAACTATTATAAATCTGGAATATGAGTTTTAAAACAAATGACTGGAAAAGTATTGATATATTTAATGTATGACCTTTTCAGTCTCTTAGTATCTTCTTGTCCTAAAATAATTCCAAACATTTGCAGTCACAGCTGAGCCACTGCGGATCTCAGTGAAACATGTTTGTTGATAAATGAATCAGCAATTCTGAATGATCCAGTGATCCACTTAATGATTAATAAAAAATGATTCAGCTTTTTTGAACAAATCAGATTAAATTTATATGCTCGTTTTAATTTTTTGATATACATTCGATATTGTTGTTAAAATAAATTACAAAAAATAAGAATGCGACATGAAAGAGCACACATTTAAGGTTCGGAAAATTGCTATTTGCATTCTTTGAACATTGCATTTTTTTTATTTTTTACTGCAAACAAATGCTGCATTTGGTTGTTTCAAAGCACTGGATCAATAACATATATATTTAACACCCCTCAAAAACCTGAAACCACATAGCACCCTATATGTATGACATTTGTTTTATGATGAAAACTTATTGATCTACAATACAGAAGTGCGCACATTTTTGCTATTGTTTTAGAACTTCCTATTCAGTTCCCTATGGGAGAAATGACTAGGAATAATAAAGGCAGAAAACAGCCAAACTACTTGCTCTACAGACAAAGCAGAATAATATAATAAAAAAGCATCAGTTTGCAACATCAAGCAGCAAAACAAGCTATTTTTAATGTCTAAAAATGAATGGAAGTGAATTAAACCAAACGTCTTGAGCCAAAAATATTAATACGTGAAGAATAAGGTTAATAGAACATTCAAAACAAGACTGTCTGAGATAAACTTGTATGAGCTATTTTTGAATCACTGAAATAGAGTGTATGGCGCTTTATAGCACATCACTGCAGGAAAAGAAACCAAAAATGACTTGATATAATGTCCCGATGTCCATTTTCACAAAAATATGATTTTTATTACTTGTTGCCTTGTTTTAACTAGCTAGGATCAAAAAACTAAGCCAAACACTCATCGTCATGGTCATCCCATCTGTTGACTGTCATTGGTCAATTTAAAACAACAGATCAGCTGTCTGTCGTCTGTTTTGGGGACATTTTCCTTGATTAGCATTTGAGCTGTTTTGACATTTGATCCTCTTATTGTGGCCACAGGAATGCTTTTCAGCAGGTCAGACTGTCTGTGAATGTGTGTTTGTGAGCAGAAGAGAACATTCCTGCCTCTTTCCTGGCAGGTTTCTGTGATACTCCCATTCTCTCTTTCACTCTCTCTCTCTCTCTGTGTGTTCTGGTGATTTTGTTGGTTGTCAGGTAATGACAAATGCTGTTAGCTTTTTGTGCACTTAACCAACAAACTGATAGGATTACTTGACTGTGTTTGTGATTCTATTTAGACTGTGGACAGGCCCAAGGACTGGTACAAGACCATGTTCAAACAGATCCACATGGTTCATAAGCCAGGTGTGTATACTGGTTACATATTGTTGTAGTCAAAATTTTTCGTTTTTTTTAATTGAATTATATATATATATATATATATATATATATATATATATATATATATATATATATATATATATATATATATATATATATATATATATATATATATATTTCCCAAATGAGCAAGGACATTTTCACAGTATGTCTGATAATATTTTTTCTTCTAGAGAAAGTCTTATTTGTTTTATTTTGGCTAGAAAAAAAAATGTTTTTAATTGTTTAAACACCATTTTAAGGTCACAATTATTAGCCCCTCTAAGCTATATATTTTTTCGATAGTCTACAGAACAAACCATTGTTATATAATAACTTGCCTAATTACACTAACCTGCCTAGTTAACTGACTAACCTAGTTAAGTCTTTAAATGTCACTTTAAGCTGTATAGAAGTGCATCTAGTTAAATATTATGTACTGTCATCACAGCAAAGGTTAAATAAATCAGTTATTAGAAATGAGTTATAAAAACTATTTTGTTTAGAAATGTGTTGAAAAAACTTTTCTGCGTTAAAGAGAAATTGGGAAAAATATATACAGGGGGCTAATAATTTTGACTTTAACTGTGAATGCATATTAAATCCAGCTATTAATTACATATTCTTTTGTCAGTTTTATGAGATTTTCAGTTTCTATCTAATGCTGTTTTCACCAGATGATGACTATGCAGACACATATAATGCAACATACGCAGTTATAAACAACGGTGAGTTCTTTCAAATAAATTAAATCCGATTTTAACTTTTCTGATGGCTTAAAACAAGAAAGTATGTTGTTCAATAGTTTTGAAATTGTGGGTTGATGTAAACAAATTGTCATTAAATTAAGTTAAACAAAGGGTATGTTATTTGGGAAATTAAAAAAATAGTCATAATATCGTTTTTAAAATTGATAATGAAGTTATAGAAAGAGTTTATGGAATTAAGTTTTTTGGTTGTTGTATTGGATCATAAAATTAGTTGGAAACCACAAATGTGATGTTAAAATTGGCAAAAACCTTTTCAAAAGTGTATAAAGCAAGATAAATCTACCCATTAAATCAATGTATGTGTCACACAACACACTTATGTTGCCATATAATTCTTTATTTTTTTAAATTGAAGATACTTAAGTTTAATGATTTGATTAAATTAAATTCATAAATATGTTTAAAATGGAAGTTACAAATGGCATAAAATATATTGTGCAGCTCAGTTGTTGATATTCATAAGAAATCACCACATCAGCAAATTGTTATGATTTCTGCAAGATCATGTGACCCTAAAAATTCAGTTTTAATCACACACACACACACACACACATATATATATATATATATATGATCATAGAAATGTTGCCTGTTTGAGCTAATGAGAATTATTTTATTTTATTTTTTATTTTTTCAACTTTATTTATAGAAATTACATTTTTTTACAAATATCACATATTTTACAATATTATTGTACATTTGAACATAGAGAGAGAAGTAAACAAGGATCTAAATGATTGTGACAATTATTGACCTCCAGATGCAGTATTTATAGAAAAAAATATATAAAACAGAAAATAAAAAATAAAGAAAAAAACTAATAATAATAAAAGCAATAATAATAATAATAATAATAATAATAATAATGTTGGTGCCAGTAGCCTAGTGGTTCTGCGCGCTGACATATAGCACCAATGTGCTCACAGCGACACATTCGATTCCCGGCTCGAGGTCCTTTGCTGATGACCCTTCTCTGCTCCTAATGCTTTCCTGTCTGAATTCTCTACTGTCCTGTCATAATAAAGGTGAAAAATAAATAAATAAAAAATAATATATATATATATATTATTACAATAATAATAATCATCTTGTAACTAAAACAATTGTTTTTTACACCAAATTAAAACCCTGGTCATGATGTCATATAAGATGTCACACAGCAGAGAAGAATGTAAAAATAAAATGTCATCCAGTATGCAGGGAGTATGCATTTCCATATATTCAAGAAGAGAACCCCAAATTTTATAAAAGTTTTTGGAAGAACCCTTTAGACAGTGTCTAATTTGTTCCAGTTTTTTTAAAGTGAGAAAAGTCATTAATCCACATGGAGTGAGTAGGTGGAGCAGATGACTTTCAATGTAGTAAAATACGACCTCTGGCCAGGAGAGACACAAAATAAAGAGACTTATTTTAAAATATTTGATCCTAGTTTTAGATTTCAGAATAGTGTACTGCTATATATTTGCTTGTTTTTTTCTGCAATGCCTAAATATAGCCATTAACTTAGTTTCATTAATCTGCGATATTAATATAATATTTGTGTCTCTTTCTCAGACAACTATCCTCCAGTTCATGCTCACCCACCTCCTCGAACGCACACGTACCGGCCGCTCTCTAGAAATACCTCAGACATTCCCGACAGTGCTGCCCAGCGAGAGCTCTCGCCATCACCCGTGCCCCCGCCGCCCCCTCCGATGCCTTCTCTCCTCCAGCTCCGCTCGCGGGACATGGACAGAGAAAAAGAGTTCTCCCATGACCCGTAAGACACCTCTACTCATGTCCTACAGGCTGCCCTCAGATCGGTTCTTATATTGGTCTCTTCTACAGAAACGAATGGGGTCCTCCAGAACGTAAAGTGGACACGCGTAAATATCGGGCAGAACCACGGAGCATCTTTGAGTATGAGCCTGGAAAATCCTCCATCCTCGAACAAGAAAGGCCTGTGAGTGATTCAATTTTATTAAATCAATTAATTACTTGATTGTCGTTTGCTAATATAATTTTATAATCCTTACTGTGCTTTAAAGTTCTAGAGAAATTTCCTTAAATTTAGGGAGCTTTTTCACTCTCATAAATTCAGACATACAGGGTCAGACTTCTACAAAGATTATAGGCCTGTCCTGGATTAAGTTGCTCATTCAGCAGACTTGCTTTTGGAAATAGTTTTTTAGCTCTATGTAAAGCCAAATTTGGCCATCGAAACTGTTGAAAGTTTCAAAGAAGTAGCTCATCCAGAAATGAACATTCAGCCTTTATTTACTTGCCTTCATATAATTTCAGACCTGTATGACTTTTTTCCCTCTGGAAGCAAAAAATGTTTATTCATTATGGGTATAGACAGATCTTTCCATGTGTTTGCCCCATTTTGAATTTAATTGTGTAATCGTTATATCTGCATTTTTACCACCATTTCTACCTTTTTTTTATTATTTATTTTAATTTTTGGCTGTTTTTTTTACTTTATTGTGATAGGACAGTACCTTTAAAGGAAGCAATGTTGAAGAGAGAGATGGGAATCAGATTGGGAAAGGTCCAGAACTAGTCTAGTCTGGAATAGAACTTTAAAATCCTGATTTACAGACAGGGTGCAAATTATACGTTGATGATTGAGGGAAGTTTTTTGGTTATGTTCGGTAATATACCAAATATATTTAATTCAGTTACATCAAATTTATTAATCAAACTTGTTATTATGTTTTCAGTGTTTTGAGGGATATTGAGTGGTTCTCAATGACAGTTGTGAAATTAAATAAACGGTGTGAGGTTTGGTTTCTTGCACCTATTGATGGATGACCATGAAAGACTGCACATATATATTTTTTTATTTTATTTCACTGTTTAATTTCCATGTGCGAGCCTGTGTATAATAAAATACAAACTATATTTCTAGTTTTACAGACACCTACAAACATCTTTTTTTAAAGAAATATGTTTTGTGAACAATTACACTGTCTATCGGTGCTTAAGATTTGCCGGTTTCAAACTGATGATTTCATATTTTTGGTGCAAACATGCATTCACAATGGTATGAACCACTACAGGCGTGGTCATATGTATATTAAAGTTATCTTTTATTGTAATTACTAGTATTATTTAAGGTACAGATCAGAGCAAACTATTTCTTAACTATTAAAGTGTAGACTCCCCCATACATCTTGTTTTGTTGTTCTTCAGGGGGATCCAGTGTTAATTAGTGGGGTCAGAGGGGTAATTCACTCTCTGTTCACAGATAATTGGGACTATTTTTATGTAAAAGAAAGAAAGGCTTGAATTAAAGTATGAGAGTTAAATTAATCATTTGTAACAATTTAGAATATTCAGTGTATTCCTTTAACTTCATATGCTTTGCAGATAACTTTTTGTTCTTCCTCTCATTCAAAATTACACTACCCTCCATTTTAGGTCAAAACAATTTTATTTTTAAGGATTATGCTAGGCTGGAATAGACTGGAAGCTGGAAATCAGCTTTCCCAATCTGAAAAAATAGTTAGGTTAAAATACCCCAACTTATAACCCATATAATAATGGGTTACATAGTTTAACCCATTGCATTGGGCTTTTTTGATTAAAAAAATTATAAAAAATCCATTCTGGTATTACTACTGCTACTATTACTATACTATTAAATAAATAATATACATTAAATAGCAAACTTTAAAACGCTTTATTATTTTTTTTTTTAAATTACAGACACTAAAGTTAAAATAAAACAAGAATCACAAACAATGAAGAAACAGAACAAAGTACAGGAAGTTATAAACTGTGCAAGCAGTAATCATGTGTTGATGGAGCAGAATATGGAGTTCTGTGTGCTGTAGAGGCTGTCCAGCAGCTGCAGCAGGCTTCACTCAGTGTCCACAGTGTACAATACATTTTAACCACATCCACACTTCTATACAAAATTAATTATTTAAAAAAATGTTTTTCGGTTTACTCATATATGGATTTATATTAATGGAATATTTTTATGTTATTTTTAAGGCGGCTAGAAGGGCACCCACTGCATTAAACACATGCTAGAGTATTTGGTGATTCATTCTGTTGTGGCAACCCCTGACGAATAAGTAACTAGGTCAAATGATTGTGAGTGAGTGTATTTTTTATATTACTTCCTTTTAAAACAGTAGCTCACCAAATATTTAAACAGCATCAAAATGACCATATCTTATAAATCTTATACCATGTCTTATAAATACTCTCATTTTCATTTTAAATTCAGGTCTATGAAATCGTCACATGCTTCACTTAATGTTTACTACAGTAGAAGAACTTCAGCAGTTTCCAAACTGCTGATTGGATGTGTGTTAAGACAGGATTTAACCTCCGTTTCACGGATCATTTGACCAAATAGTGGACCCTCGGCCGTAAGTTTGCTTATCATGAGCAATGTGGTTCTTTAGTAAGCTTTCTTTCTATTGTATATTAGTTCATGTTGGTAAAATATTGGTAAATGTTTGCACTTAAAGCAATCAATTGGAGCTATATAGTGCTGCGGTTTACCTGAAACATTATGCTGTGGTATTCATGCTAACGATGCAGCTTTGGATTTTGCCAGCAATACATTATATCCCAATACTATTCTTACACTAATAATGTCAAGATTGTGTTTGTACGAACAAACTGGTTCAATAGATGTTTTTCCTCAGTGTTTCATTTCTCTTTTGAAAGTGGCTGAACTTTTGTTTTGCAATGCAGATGTAAAAAGCTGGAAGGGTGTCAGACAAAAGCGGTGGAGTCATAGCCAGGAGCTCGGTTCACAGGGAACAATAGGATAGAAATGTCAGGAGGCTGAATCACAGCACTGCCCTCAGCACAAACACAGTGGATGTGGCAGTGGGAGATGTCCCGTGCGGCAAAATGAGTGGGCAGCTTTCACAGCATGTACAGTCATAGCTCGGGGAAAAGAAAAAGAGGCTTTAGAGAGAGAGAAACAGGAGGAAGAAGCTCAATGTCTCCCCCTGCTGAATAAAGTTGAAAGGCACAACTCTTGTAGTGAAAAGTTCTATCAGTTGGAAATCAGAAGAAATATTTTCTATCCCATGTTGAGGGCTAAACAGTTTTGTTTCCCGTTGACTTCCATTGTATAGACCAATAGTAGGGGAGATGGTAGACCTAAAATTTCAATATGACTGATTAGATTTGTTTTAAGCTAACCTAACAGAAGTAAAAGAGCAGTAGTTTTTAAGCATATACTCGAAGCACAGTATAATGCTAGAAAAGTAAAGTTTGTAGACAAACTTTATGGTGGCTTGAGAACGCCTAGTCTGAAAGTTTGAAGTAGTTTAAAAGTTTTAATAATTAAAGTAGTTTTTAAGAAGTTTTAAATAGCTGGCATTGATAGATCACTACACATGTTAGCATGTGTTAGCACATTCTAGTATGGATTGGCATGTTTCTAGCTAGGGCATTGCTAGTGAGTTCTGAGTGGCAACTAATGCGTTGCTAGGGTGTTCTAGGTTGTTGCTAAGGTGTTGCTAGAAGGTTTCTAAGGTGTTCTAGGTTGTTGCCATGGTGTTGCTAGGTGTTGCAAGGAGGGTAAGCCATTTTCACCCATTTGTCCCAGGATTCTCCCTTATTTTACAATTTATCTCACTATCATCCTGTAAAAGTATTTTCCCGTATATCTCCTGTATTTTAATTTTTTTATGAAGGGTGGCAAAAAAACATCAAAGAGCCGATCCTCCCTATACGCAACCCATACTGCTGAACCACCTAGGAGCGCCCTTTGCTCTTATATATAAATGAATCTATTCTGTGCTTTCATTTAATTTAGGCATGAAAACACTTTGAAAAAAATATAAAAACGGCAGGAGTCCCTTCCTTTCAATTACACCATTGCCCGCCCCTCCTCTGCAGTCCTCAAAACAGTCAATTCATGTAGTGGTGCGTGACTGTCAGACGTGCTCCATATTGATAAATAGATGCTGTTTCCCAAACGGATTCTGCACACATGATTTGAATCGGAGCGAAAGTGGACATTCTTGTATCCCTTATTTTCGCATCCCAATGTTGAAATGATTGAAATAATCATGTTCTCTAATTTTAATGTAAATACATTTGTAGTCAATGGGAGCCAAAGCAATTTAGTTACCTTTCCCTGGTAATTGTTATAAATGAAAGCGTTTAGAGAGTGAGAGAGAGATGGGCCACCCTATCCTCATCTGTTCTTTACCCATCGTGCCATATTTGGATGCTCCTTAATCAACGCAAGCTCATTGGAAATACTTGCCTCAGCCTATACTTTTTTGAAATAGCAAGAACATACATCAGCATAAGTTTGACTGTGGCTTCTAAGTCAAATGAATACTAAGGGGCAGTATGATTCCAACAAATTTTGTTCCTTTTTTACAATAATGATATTTATAGGGACATAAAATCAATGAATAAAGGATTATTTTCATGTAATTCTTTGCATAACCCAACATAAATACTACAATAAACCTAAATGTGGTTCATAATTTGTAATAGAATACATTTTGCCTCACCTTTCTGTCTTTATATGGACACATTTTCCGCTGCGGTCAGCTTGCTCTGTAGCTCACTATGTACTGTTATACAGGGCACTCAAGATTGAATCCATTACCCTAAGTAATGTATTTTAGATTTTAAAATTGTAGACAGCGCCCTCTATTGGATTTGTCATCTCAAACATGTAACACAATGTACCCAGAGCAACGTATTTTATGTTTGGTTTAGCATTTATAGTAAACCTGGGTTACCCTAACTGCCATTTTTCTTTTCCTCTCATTGTTTTTTCTCTTTGCTTACCTCTACTCTTCTGTGTTGCTTCTTGCTCCAGACATTTGATTTAAACCCAGATGACATAGATTTAGAGAACGAGCCTTGGTTTAAATTCTTTTCCGAGTTGGAGTTTGGACGGCCGGTAAGTTGTGTGAGGGTGCGGCAGATTGGCATGCTAGGCTATAATCTCCTTGTCCTGTACACACTTGCTGCTGTGTAACGACAAGTGCGCGCGTGTGTGTGTAGTTAAAGTTTTGACATGTGCACACTGGCTTTATAAAAACTTATTTTAACAACAAAGGAATCTGTGTTTGCACACTGAAAACAGTACAATAGCACTTAACACCACCACAATGACAATTTGTAGGCCCCGATATACTCACAGCAACATTTTTGTTTATTCATTGAAAAGTTCAAAATAAGGTATGATGTTGCACTTAACATGCTGCTGAGGCTTTGTCTACAATAATACACTTTTAATTAAAAATACATATAATTGTGTGACTGTATTACTGCCCTTCATAATGATAAAGCATTTTTTGATACGTCTGTTTTACGCTGCAAGCGTGTTCGTAAGTGCAGAGTGTTCGTAAGTGCAACGGATCAGCAGCTTTTACACAGATCAATCTATCTCTGTCTATTCTATGTAGTTACCTAACTATCTTTATATATAAATACACTTTTTTTTTACTTTTCATCTGCACCAAGGCCCAAAGCAACTTCCTCCTATGTTGTTTCCTTAACCTATATATATATATATATATACACTGTAAAAAATTGCTGTTAAAAAACGGTCAGATTCTACGGTAAAATAATGTTTTTTTACTAAAACAGTAATATTCTGTTAAAAACAGTGCTTTCTGGGTAACATTTTTGTTTTCGAGAAAGTAACCAACTGCAGAAAACTGTGAGCTAACAGAGTTCAGATTCGATGTTTTGAAGTCTGTGTTTAAAATCACACTTTGTGCCCTTGTTCACTATTCCATCAACTAGTTCACCAATATAGTTCACCTGAGAGTTAATGAACACTAATGAGTGAATTCAGACACTGATGAACACCTGCTGTTAATAATCACAATTACTGAAGGAAAGAGAAACAAGAAACACAAACAGTGACTTGAGTTACAATATAAAATAAAATAAAATAAAATAAAACAGCTTCAGTCTCAGCAGAGGATCATTAAACAACTCCACAAACAACAGCAGACACACACTTATTACTGACTGATTTGACTTCCATACTATTCTCATTGAGATCCAACAGAAATTAAGGTGTTTTTTGTGTCACCGTAATAGAGTGAGGGGCTGATTTAGTTGGGCTCTTCACCCTTGAACTCATTTATTAAGATTTTCCAACTGCTGAAATACAGAGTTTACAAAACGTTTGAACTATAGCAATAAAGTTGGGAAGTCAATAAATAGAGAAATCTATTTGTCTGAAAATAGTTCTGATAAATGTTTTGTTATAAATCTGGAAGAAGGGCCTCATGCAATAGATTTTATGTTTAGTTGCAGGTATTAATTTAATTAATGAGAAGTGGAAACAGAAAAGATACCTCTGAAATTACTTAACAGTTAAGAAATAACATCCAAAAACAGTTCAGTTATGACAAATACACACTCAGACCTCATGAATCTGACCTTGTATCTCAACAATGGTAACATCTCAAATGTTTCATGCTGCAATGCATGCTGGTAGTGGCACGGTACAAATATCCCAGCATGCATTGCGGTATAAATAAATGTTGTATAATGGTCTAACAGTTTTATTTATTTGTGTTTGATTCTGCTGTTGTTTATGTTTCGACTTTCAGTTGCCTGTTTGTGAGTTAAACTGTTAATTTTGTTAGTTGTCACCATTATTGAGGTTCATATGCTGATTATAGATGTCTCTTTGAGTGCGATTTACACCATAGAGCAGTGTTATTGTCCAAGATATTCTTAAAAACTTCCAGAAATCATTGCCATATATAGACATATAATGTAAAACAATAGATTTAACATTGAATAGGAGCAGTAAATTTTGTTATACTAATGAGAACAGACTCTGCCATTTAATAGCAACATGAACATCACCAGATCTTATTTAGGTTTTTGGCTGGCTTGCCTCAAAAAAAGAGCTTTTTAAACAAAGTTCTTAACAATTGCAGCAGCCAAGATATATAAATGTTAAAAATGACAGGGCTAAGAGCCCAACCAAAGCAAACTCTGTTCTCCATGATGGTGACGTAAAACTTTAACTTTTTCTCAAGAAGAACTTTAGTAAATGTTATACAAAAATACATGTATTAAGTAATAAGTGTAGCTGGTGATGATGTTTGTAGAGTTGTTTAATCATCCGCTGATCATTTAAATGATTTAATCATTTGTTGTTCTTCAGGTTATTTCATTATAAAGCTGTGACTAAAGTTTTGCATGTTCTGTTCTTGTTTTTTCCCTTCAGTATTTCTTCATTTGTTCATTGTTAATCCTCAATTATCATTGAATTAGTCAGTTAATTAATTCATTTACTTCAGCTTTGCTACATGTTTCTTGAACACTCAGTAGTGTGGACACTTCAATAAAAACTGAAGTATAGGCTCTGGGGTTTAAAGGGTTAAAGGTGTGAGAGGTAAAAACACAGTGTAAAATGTATTTTAACAGTAATATACTGTTAATTTACACTACGGAAATAGACTGTTAAAAAACAGTATATTGCTGGCAACCACAGCTGCCAGTAGATTACTGTTAAATCAAGGAAAAAACAGTATTTTACTGTAAAACCTGAAGCTAATTTCTTCTGTGTGTCACCGTTGTGGAGGAGAGTAGAGCTAGTGTATGAGTTAAAGATGAACAATGAACTGCTGATGTTATTCTGCATGTTTCTCTATTTAAAGACAGCGGCTGTTTAGTTGCTGATGCAGTCAGAATCTCTCTGGTGATTCCAGATTTACATGTATGTGTGCTGTTGTGCAAAATAAGACATTAGAGTTAAACCGAACTTTTCTAATTAACTAAAATAAGTTATCATTATAAGTATGCTTCTAAGCATATATAGCACATTACTTCATAAACTCATTCAGCAGTTGACCAAGTTGAGGCAGTTGCTTTCAGTGAGCAAAATGAGTTCACTTGAGTATTGTGTAAATCAATGTAGTCCATGTATTTTTACAGCAACATACTGTAAAATAACAGTACATTGCTGGCAACTGCAGCTGCCAGTATTTTCCTGTTTTTTAACGGGACAATTTTTAACAGTGTATATATATATATATATATATATATATATATATATATATATATATATATATATATATATATCCAAAAGATGATTTAGGCCTATAATTATAATTATATTTATATAATATAGTTATAATGACATTTATACAAGATCAAACTGGTGTGCAACTTAGTAAGCAAAACTAATACTAAAACAAATATTTGTTGCCGTTTTTATTCGTTTAATTCATTTGATTAAATATCTAAAAATCTGAGGATATTATTGATGCATTTATTGGGTAAAATTGCTACTTTAATTGAGTGTGAGCTAGATAGACCCAGCATCGAAACTATCGCTGCACTGCTGCTTCAGCGACGCTCACACCTCGCGCTGACGTGCTGCTTCTGCATGCCGTATGAAAGCTCTAATCTGATAACATGGACGCCAAAAAAAAAAAAAACAAGCTCTGCTCCCGCTTGCAATGTGAAACAGACTTTACTGAAAATAAAGCTTTTCGAAAATGCTTTTCATAGTGGTTAAATTTGAAAATGCAGTTTTATAATTTTAAATTTGATAATGGTGGCTATTGCAAATATGATTTGTGTTAGAATTGATGTGATGCTGCACAGACCAATAGGTGTATGACAATAAAGTATTGCTAGAATAATGCGAAAGCATGAGAAGCAGCCCCAGTCTCAGAGACAAGCATTTTTCACTGGAGATTAACAACTTTTGGAAAATGCTAGTGTGTATAGAGACTATGTGACTTTGCGATATTTAGTTTTTCTATTATATCTTCAGTGACATTACTGTAGTTTCACCAGCTGACTTAAAAAATACATAATTTTTCATTTTAGATTAATTGGAGAGATTCTATAGACGAGTATCTACATAAATTATAATAAACAAACTGAAAGCTAAATAAATACAATATAGAGCAAAGATGCAAATTAAATTGTAATTTTCTGGGCTAATTTGATCCGAAATATGTCAATTTGTGCTGCTCACTCGCTTCTCAAGAAATTATCCCAACAAAAATGACAGCGGGGAGAAAACTGCAGTTCAGAACGCATCATACGGGCTAAAAGAGATGTGGATATTTGCATGAGCTCTGCAGTTCGGCACTCTTTATGTCATGTTTATTTATATAGAACATACATTAGATTGCTTTAAAGCAAGCTGCTTTATCGAGCTGGGCAATATGTCCCAAAAATCATATTACAGGTATATTATGACAAAACCATGACTAAGCTTCTTTTATACACAGATATTGTCATGTAAAACGATCAGTTAAATTCAAAGTCTTATATTATATTAATAATCGCTATTACAGATTAAAACAAAATGAATCTGAACTGACACTCGTTTTTCTTGTTTTAAAAGTAATCATGATTCTAATATTTTTGGAGAGAGACAAAGAAAAGCAAATAGTTAAAAAAAAAAATTTGAAATGCAAGAATCAAATTTAACCTGAAAATATGTACGTTTGTGCTGCACACCTTTCTATCAAGAACAAAATAATCTCAACAAAACCGTAGTTCAGAAAGCATCAGACATGTTTGGATGAGCTCTGCAATTCAACACTTAGTAATGTCATATTTTTATATATAGAACATGCATTATATTGTTTGAATAAAATCATCTTTATAGTATGAAAAGGCATTAGTGTCGCTTTCATTTAGAATAAAATAATTTCTTGTCAGTTTGTTCATGTATTTACTTACTTGTGTCTTCCCTTGAACGACTGAACAGAATAAACTAATAAATACTTGAAGTATATCGGGTCCTTAAAATTACTAGAAGTACAGTGTTGTTAACAGAGGAACAGGTTAACAGTTTGAACTTTTAGTGTGAAACACTGTTGTTTTTTGTTTTGTTTTTTGCTTTGGCTCTGTTTGCGGTATCACATTCTTACAGCTTACAGCATTTACAGCTGGAGAAACTGTGCAGAAAACACTTGACAAGTCTGTTTGTTTTCAGTAATGAATGAGCATAGGATAATACAGTGGCCGTAAAAGGATTTGAGCCTTTAATCCACACATAAACTGGGTAAATCTGAGTAATTTCACATCAATGAGTTATATGCTGTTGTAGAACGCTTAAACAACATGCTTAAACAATAGTAAACACAAAATTATGAAAAGTTTGAAGACATTTAATTAGTTGAGTGTGCGTTATATACTACTAATGTAGTGTTTTTCAGAAATTATTCAGGGTTTCTGTGTCTTAAAGGTGCTGTATGTAAGTTTTTGACTCTTCTAAAGCATAAAAATACCATAATATGTTTGCAGATTTTAAAAGAACATGCTAAATACACATTCTTGTTTATCTGAAAAATAATGCTGAAAATGTGTTTTCTGTGCCAAAAAGTCTGTCTTTTTTTGGTCATTTTAACCTGCTTGATGCCAGTTTCAGCACACCAGGTTGCCTTGGTGTAAAACTGCGTATTTCATTCATTTCATCAGGAAGGCTCTGAAATTTGTGTTCGTGACCAAAATGCGACCTCCGGTGGACAGTAGCAGACTCCAAAATGAGACACAGATTCAGAGTTCCACATGAGATTATTAATAAGCAAATAATATAAATAGTGTGCACATAAACATTAGGTAAGCATTTTACATTGTAACCACGTGTCCTAACAACACACTACGTGATGAGATACGCAATTTGACTGTTTGCATCAGACGAAACATGACAGAAATTTAGATACAGCTATTCAGAAGCACAGAAAATGCACTCACTCATGAAATGTTAATGTTTATAATCTATTTAATACATATTAACCTTTAACTCTTTAGCATTATTAATTGTACATGCTGAATCACTCATATGTGTTTAGTTCTAAAGTTCAATTTCAAACGGTTTATTTTATTTTAAAGATCTGAGGTGAACTATCTGCTGCTGCTTTCAGTTTATGGCAATAAATGTAATGTGAAATGGCATTCAGACTCGCATTGTTAGCATTTAACACTGAATAAAGCACATGAGGTGAACCTGAGGTGATCATTGTCATAGTGTTCTACTGCTCATCTGTGAGAAATAGAAGCCGTTTTTGATATATCAATTTAAGGTGTTGGTTAGGAATAAAACTCCTTTTCATGTGGAAAATATTCCTTTTATCTGGTGCCGTTGCTTTTATATAGAAAACGGTGTAAATAACTCACTCCTGTCCTCAACCTGTGCTTGCCTTTGTTTTGATCCAGGAGTGCAATACCTAGGGTCCGTTCTTCGTACCTCGCTTAAATGATCTAAGATGATTTGGCAGATCCTGGATCTTTTAATCTTGATAACTGATCTCTCGCTAATTTGGTTCTTCAAACAAGTTCACGAATCAGATTAGAATGTCTGGATAAACTGATCTGAGATCGCTGCGTGTGTTATGAAGGACAGATCTATCGATCCTCAATCATGATCAGCAATGCAACGATTGGCTGACGGCATAGCAGCGTAATGACATCATCTGATTAATATTCAATTATCCATGTGAGCAAAATTACATCAAATTAGCAGTAAATGGTTTGTTAAATATGACACGCAAGAACTTTCCACATTTGTTGTGAGCTGCAGGCTTTACACTTTCATGTGTCAAGACAAGAGTATTCATCATGTATTTCAATGCAAATCAATGCATTTAGTTCTACATTTAGAAAAGATTTTCTTTATTAATGTAGCCGTTTTTTAATCGGTGTATAAAGAATAACTGGTTGTTTACAAAAGCATTTTGATATTGGTAAAGGCGTCTGCAACTTTTGTGAAGCATCAAATCACTGGCATATTAACTATCAAAACATGTTTATGACTGCATAAATGTATTATTGCTTAAAAAAAATCACATATTGTGCATTTCTATTATACACAATTTGTTTTAAAGCGATCTAAAAAGTTCATTTCAATAAGTTTTCTCTTTGCACCAGATGGCAGTCTTTGTACTTTCATTTCGAGGGTGCAGATTGCATACGTTTTATTAATATGTATAACTTTATTTTATTTTATTAATGACTATAACTTTATATATATATATTTAAAAATTATGTATTATTTTCCCAAGTGTATATAACTACTACTGTAAGAAAATATCAGAATTCGGTAAATACTTTCTGTATTATCTTTGCTTGAACTAAGCCGATCTAATCCTGTTTATATGAATTAAACCTGCTCCCGATCAGGTTTGACCTAGCAGAACTGTTGCCATGACAACAACTCTCGGATCAGCTTTGAAGAACGAAACGATCCTGGATCGTGTCAAATCGTCAATATCCAAATCCAGCTAACTGAGTAACCCACGTACAAAGAACGGACCCCTAGTTAAAGCACTGGGTGTCAAACTTACATACTGCATCTTTAAATGGGTCTTTTATAACAGAACAGAAAGTGTTCAAATTCAAAGTTTTGTTAGTTAGTTAGTTAGTTTTTTTGTTTGTTTGTTTGTTTGTTTGTTTGTTTGCTTGTTTTCAGTTACAAAAAAACATTTACTTGTAAAGCAAAATTAAAACTTGTAAGTATTTTCTTCTGAGGAAATAAACAAAATTAGACTAAGTCACTAAAAACAAGAAGAAATATATGTCAGTGGTGTATGAAAATCACATTACTGTTTGACCAAATATGATAAATATTTGTTCCCTTTTTAATCCAAATAACAAAATTTACTTTGTTTAATAAATTTAGACTTTTTGATTTTAATGTAAATTGAAATATTTATTGATTATTTTACTTATTTTAATTTAAAAGACTTGGTGATCTGTTGGGAGTTGTACAGTATTTTAAAAGCTTTTAGGTGTATTGCTAAGTCTTGTCTGTCCCCTATATTTTTTATTTAAAAGAACATATTGAATTGATGTTTTCCTTTTAAATCATTAATTAAATTTTATTTATTTGTTTTTAAAATAGTCTTAAAACAAGTAAGTCCAAAAATAAGTGAAAAAGTTGTTATTAAAAAGTTGCTATTAGCATATTAAAAACAACACAGATGTGCATCAAAAATCCAGACAACCTGCAAAAAAATGTAGAAACCGGTCATTCTAATATGCTATTTGGTTCTGTGCCTAATAAAGAGCTCAAAAGAACTGCATTTCCTTCAAATAGACTTTAGCTTGTGACCTCATGAAATGCAATAAATTGAATAAGCCTGTTCATATATTTTGGAGGCCACTGTATGTTCATTAATGAGACATTACAGTATATGCACAGTTCCTCCAGCTCCTAGAGAACACACACCCGCCTTGTTTACTGGTTGAGTTTGCTGCCATCATGTGTAAACAAGCAGCATCTGGGTGAAGCCTTGATGTAGTTCCATCATTGTGTGTATTAGATGTACACACAATCGGCAATGTGTGTAAGGTAGGTAAAGCATGTGTGAGCACTTGTGTAGTCTGTCACACACACTAGCACTCACCCTTTGTTTGTTTGTGCACTGTGTGTGGGTTTTGCTTAATCCTTCTCTGTGTTTCTCCATGCCTAACGTTGTCACTCTCTCCACATGTGTCTTTTTCCCATGACGCACCTGCTTCTCCACCTCATCTTCACCTCTTCACCTCTGTGCTGTGCGTTTGTTCTGGTGGCGGGACGTTCAGCCTCCTAAAAAGAGGTTGGATTATAATCCTGACTACTCCACACATACTGTGGCACAGGTAAATCTGTCTTCCTGTCCATCCATCCATCCATTCTTTCTTTGCTGGTTCTTTTAGCATTCTACAATATTTTTTTTTTCCCTTGCACTGCTTTCTGATGCATTTTTATTTACAGATATAATATTCATATGTACATTTTATACATCTTAAACTCTCTTTTAATGGAAAAAAATATGTAATAGTTCATTTAAAAGTCACTTTATTTCAGGCTTTCCTTAAGTGTCAGATAAAAAATGTTTTGTATTAAAAGTACTGAACACTCACATATGTATTTTGAGGTGGGTAATGCTTTTTTTTTTAAATCAGATTTTGTTTATGCTTTGTTTGCAGTCGGGTTTACTTCATCTGCTCTTGAAATTTTTACTCTTAATGCAGTAGTTCACCCAAAAATTAAAAATCTGCCATTTTTTACTTGTATTACAATTAGAATTACAAAGTAGATGTTTTTACTATATACTTAATATACATATATATTAGGGGTGTAACGGATCCTGGTTGATCCCTGATCCGTACGGATAACAACCCACAGTTCAGAACGCATGTGACCTTTGGATTAATAACTTTTTTGAACTTGTAGAATAATCCTCCATTTATAATAATTGCGGAGAGATCACCTTTTGCGTCATTCAAATGTTGTTTGTTTAGCCTGCATGAATGCATTGTGTGTAAAGCTGCAAACCTTGATGCTGAACTTAACGCTGGTGAATGTTGTAGCAATTACATTGTGTACAAACAACCATCAAAAATAGCTAATGTTACTGAATAGGTTTTCAATTTAATCCCCCTATAATGAAACATGAAGTTTAATGTGTAAATTGTTGAATCATTAATTGAAAATAAATATATGTTGTACAAGATTTTAAAATTTCTATATTTAGCAATATCAGCAAAAGTAGCAAGGATAATTTTTCATATTGGTTCTTACTCAATTTTTATTTTTATTAAAATCACAGGTTCTAAGTTTTGTTTGTTAAAACCAATGGTTTTTGCAGTAATGTCTTTGTATAAATGGAAAGCAAATAAAATTTTTCTCCTTACTTTTTTGCTGAACCGAAATATGGTTCTAATCTGTGACTCAAAAATCGTAGTGTGATTCGAACTGTGAGATTTGTGATCCGTTACACCACAAATATATATACAACAGTTCTGTCTGATTCTCAAATTTGACTGGCTGATAGCCATGCGATATTAAAGCAATATCAGCACGCATACAGCCACTTCACTCTTGTGTATTACTCCGCCCACACTAGGACTATAGAGGGACTAACTCACTACAGTTTGACTAATATTGCAGCTGTTGGACAACATGATGTAATTTTGAGGATTTTTTGGGTGAGAATGTAGTTGTTTAGAATGCAACTATGCAGTTTATTTATAAGGATAATGCCTTTGAAATTATGTTTTCAGTAGTTCACAACTTTCAGCACATCGGCGGCCATCAGCCTGTCATATTGCCCACTGTCAGCACTCCTCTGACAGCTACTGTTAAATTTAATTGAATATTGGTTTTTAGTTAAGTATTTCAAGGAACAACAGAAAAAAGGGTGTTTAATTACACTGTAAAAAATGCAGGGCTCCACACAACTTATTCATGTGTTCCCAACACAAATTGATTAAGTTAACTTAAAGGGCCATGAAACCCCCTTGTTTCAGCAGGGTGTTTTCACACCTCTACTTTGGACAAAGTCAGAAAAGTGGGCGTGTCCAGCTCTGTTTAGGGGGGAGTGTCGGAGGAGCAAAAGAGGGATGGTGTGGTAGTGTCGATTAGAGCACACGCTGAGTTTCAGAGTCAAAACACACCCACACACACACACACACACACAGGGGAGAAAGTGACTGTGTTTACAAGGACGTCTGTAATCAAATTATTTGCCAAATTATTAAATGGTTGACTTTAACTGCAGTTTGGCTCTTTCATTCAGGGGATTCATTTGTGCCCCTTGCGACAAACGAGATATTTGATTCGAGGAATTGCTGGAAGCGTGTATTTTTCATGCAATGTTTGATACCGCATGGCCAATGAGAGAAAAAAAAAACTCGGCAGGTAAGCCGCGTGTGTTATTCCAGTCACAAAATGCGGTGAAAATCCTACATGATGGTAATTGTTTGGTTGTGGTGCTAACATGTTTACACTCTGTGTAATAGTTAGTTTGATACGTACAGACTGAATAAACACAGAGCACTGGTCGCTCACTTACCAAATCTGTAGAGACAGGACAATCCACAGCAACTAGAACCGCGTCTTTATTAAGAGGAGACGAGCAGCGAATCTGGATCTCACCATTTGCAGATGGAAAAAAAAAGCTCTCGGGTAAGCAATGTACCTTAGACACGTAAGTTATTGTTGTCGAGCGTCGCATGCACTGATCCACACGTTAGTCCAGCTGCGCTCTGGTTTGAACCAAGCCTTACTCATGCATTAATGCAGCACACTCGAAGATTCACACTAAGATCTCATGGCCGTGACGCAGCTTCAAAAATTATTTTCTAACCGGAAGTGTGAATTTGCTCAAAAAAACGCAAAAACAACCAATTTTCACTTTTTAGTGAGATATACGTGTCCTAATAGTGTTTTTAGTAGTGTGGGACACATATACGATTGTCAACAGCTCAAAAAAATGTGTTTTGGTGTTTCGTGACCCTTTAACACTTTTAACAAATGTATGTGGATTGATCATAAAACATTTTGTTGTCCCAGTGAAATCATAAGAATTCTGTTGATTCAGCTTATTTTAAATAAGTAGTTTGAACGAGTAAAAAACATATATTTTTGAGTGTTCTATAAGTATAATTGTTAGTTTTGTAACTATAATATATTCTATATGGCCTTAGTAACTGTAAAGTAGATGATTTTTCTGTTAGTAACTATAAAAACCCTGACTTACATTTTGTAGACTGCTAATAGTGATGATTTTGGTAGCCAAACCATCACTAAAGAAACGACAAAAAGTCATGACAACAAATGTTTTCCTAATAATATTTTTTTAAATACATTTAGCAGGTTTCAACTAATTTATTTGAGTTTAACTTAATAATTTTAGTTAGTTTGATTGATGTTAGTTGAGCTGACTTGAAAAAGTTCATTTGATTCAACTTAAAAATTGAAGGCAGCAAGCTTTTTTACAGTGTTCATTACCACTGTATGGACTGAAAACATTTTGTACATTTATCAGTTTGTCTTATTCCAACCAATAAATCAACCAGTCAATAAGTAAATAAATAAATAATTCATACATGTTTAGACTGACATAAATTTAAATAAATTATTACAAAGTTTCAAGCTTTTGGGTGGACTATCTTATTAATTTCATTGCCATTTTAGGAGACTTTCTCTTAAAATGTTCTTTGTTGAATGAACAAGTTCATGTACATGAAAGAAAGTTGTTTTGTTATTGTTGTTTTTTTGCTCTGAGTATTTTTTTTCTATTCAAATATGTTACTTGAGAAGAGTTATAAGCTTCCCAAGTACTTAAATGCACTTTTCCAGCTTGTGTGGATTGGCTTTTAATATATCTTCCTGTCTTCTACACATAGGATCAGCAATGGTGTGTTTAAAAAAAATGCTGTGCTGTCAGTAATTGCTTTCCTTTCTTTCCTCTAATCCAAGTCTTTCAGATTAGCCAGAATGAACACCAGAGACTGCTGTATTGTGCTCAGATTTGTAGTTCGCCCCAGGCCGTGTCAAGGGAAAAGGAGGCGTGGCGATCTTGGACAACATAATAGACGGGGCTTCTTTTGACCTGGTGCCACGTGCAGCCTTTCTGGAATTAAGACTGTTTTGTTTGCTTCTTTTTGTCTGGCTTTGGTTACCACGGGGTCCGGCCCTTTTTTTTCCACACAATGTCAAAGTTCATTCACAGTCCTTCAAGATGGGATAGAGAGATGTGGAACCCTCGTCTGTCATGGCTTTATTTGCGCATGCGGGGGGAAGGTTTTGAGCGTGGCGCAGGACAGGATGCATTACTCTTCTTTGTTCCTATGGATCTCACTCTTCTCTTTTGTTGTCTGCTCTCTTTCAGTCATCTCTCTATATCTCGCCTTCTGAACGACCTGATGGGCCTTCAAGGTAAGCACTTGTTTTGTTATTATCATGCTTTTCTCTCTGTGGTTCTTTCATTATTTCTGAAAGATTTGCATTGGCTGTCCAATGGATGGCAGATCCTGAGCATTCTCAATTTATTTGCATCGAAATGCTTTTAAAGCTCTGTCACTATCCATAAGTTAGTGTATGTTTGTGTATAATTTGTGAATCTGGCGTCCCATAATGCTCTGTCTGACTATTAAACATTTCGTATGCATCTTCTAGATCTCAGATCATCTATACATGAGCTCAGATCAGTGACACATGCTGTTCATGTGACATCTGTAGAGTACAAGATATGACAATCCTAATTTCTCAGTGTTTAATTTGTTGAAGGCTTTATAATCAGAATATTATTGTCATTATATGTATTAATATATTATTTACTAGCTGTTTCATTTTGGGTGACGTTTCTTTTTTTAATATATCATAATGATAAGCTTAGTTTAAATTCAGAGAAGTTTCAATCCCTTAAAATGTGAAATTCTAGAGTACATCATTTAGATTTTTTTAATACTACTGGACTGGTGAATGTGTGGTTTTCTGTTGAATATTGTAATAATATGAGATGATTTATGAATAGGGTATGAGATTATTATTATTATTTAACAGATAGGCTATGAGATTTCTGAGATTATAAGAATAAATATGAGATTATTTTAGCTAAAGTAATTCTACTGCATTAAATCTCCATACACTATGCCAGATGATTTTTAGGTCACAGCTTGCAACTGTCAAATTTCTAAATTAGGCTAATTAATTAATACTAATTAAAGGCTTTGGATGAGATGCCTAAGAAACTAGTCCTACACATAGAAGCAGTTTGAAAACCTGAAGAATACAACATCTAATCTGAGTTTTTAAGTTTGGTAACTGTAGTATAAGGGTGCTTTCCCACTAGCACTTTTGGTCCGCACCCAGGTTAGTTTGATGTCAAAGTATTGTATGTTTAGCTAGTGTGAATGCTGTCTTCTGAACTCAGGTGCGCACTCATGAACTGTACCCGAGTCCACCTGAAAGAGGAGGTCTAGAGTACGGTTCATGCAAACTCTGGTATGGTTCACTTCTGATTTGAATGCAATCGTACCAAATAAAGGACGTGAACCACCGGCTGTATAACAACTTTAGTTTTCATAACGTTCATTTGTGTGTGTGTGACAGCTTGGCAACAAGTGGGACTGACCTAGTGCAATGATAATGTCTGCTTGTCTCCACCAAAAATGATTTTGCAGACATCATGCAATGTTCTAAACGTTTATTTTTATTTATTTATTTATTTTTAATTTATTTTTTTGCAGCAGATAGATGCAAGTGGCTTTCTATATCTGGGGTTTGGTAACAAAAGCAAAAGATTCAATAAAAGCAGAATAACCGTGATATGCGGACGTCTCCATTTTGACGCTTTGCTTTTGTGGCTGTCACCTAGCAACAGCTGTACACAAAACAGCACTTTGATGACGCAAGCGTACCAGGACTCAGACTAGATGTTCTCGCTGCAACGCGCAGCTTGATGTAGGTGTTCGTCAACTACATAGGGGACCTTGTACCGCCCACTAAGGTAACGCCTATGCTACTGTGATGGTTGGGTTTAGGGTAGAAGGAGGTGTAGGCCATCATCAACTTGTAAAGCCCATGCTACTGTGACAGTTGGGTTTAGGGTAGGGTAGGTGTAGGCCATCATCAACTACGTAGAAAACCTTGTACCGCCCATTAAGGTAGCGTCCATTATACTGTGACGGTTGGGTTTAGGGTAAGGGGAGGTGTAGATGTAGGTGATCGTCAACTATGTAGCGGACCTTATACTCAATCAAGCAAATGTCATGGTGGCTGTGTCTGTGTACGGATTCACGTTCTTGTGTTGACCGGTCGGCCTTGCAGGATACCTTGGAAGAACATACTCGAACCGCGAGAACACAGAACGCTTCTGAGAAATGAAATGCTGTGAGCTTCCTGTTGATCACATGATGGCTCGCACCACTAGTGGGTTGTGGGGGACCCCTTAGTGGCAGTAGGGCCCTAAGCAGCCACTTAGTTCGTTTATAGTGTGAACAGGCTATGCTTGTACCGCCCTCTAAAGTAACGCCCATTATACTGTGACGGTTGAGTTTAGGGTAAAGGGAGGTGTAGGTGATGTAGCGGACCTTGTACTGCCCAATAAGGTAGCATCCATTGTTGGAAGAATAAAAATGAAAAAGAGAACCCAGTCCAGGAGACTCAAAACTAGCAGAATTCCTTTATTGAGATTTGTTGGTTAATCTGCAGTCATATACTGTAGCGTCTCCAAGAAGTCCACGAGTCTGTAAGAGCCTACTGGAGTCTCTTACAGGTCTGCAGTCTGTACGTTTATCACAAGTCTGTATTCAGGTCTAAAATGAGTCTAATTATGTGTTTTAGAAGGAGGGAAGTGGCTAAGTTGGGTTTAGGGTAGGAGGAGGTGTAGGCAATTGTCAACTACGTAGTAGACCTGGTCAACTACGTCATCAAGCTGCGGGCCTCAGCAAGGACTGTCTCGGTTCAGAAGGAAAAAAGAAAACCAGCCAAAGTGGGGACAATTTAACTTGGGTTCCGATCAGGCATTCAGACCAAGTGTGAAACCACCCTGAATCTCCATTTCACTATGCCAGATCATTTACAGTCAACAGCCTACACCAGTCAAAATTTATATATAATCGAAAAAGGCTTTGGATAAGATGCATAACAAACTAGTCCCATACATAGAAGCAATTTGAGGACAAATTGACAAATCTGTTAAAATACAAGATCTGAACAGAGTTTTTAGGTGTGGTAATTGTAGTATAAATTAAATAATTGACACTGGTCTATTGAATTCTAAAAAAAATAATACGGCTACCTCACTTCCCCTTGTGGCTTCAGTATTTCTTACATAATCCTGTTTGCATATAAAAAAAAATACATTTAGTTTGCAGTAAAATGAGTTTCGCATTTGTTATTTTAATGCATTTTGATCTGGGAATTTTAGCTCTGCAAGTGACTACAGAAAAAGACGAAAGTCTGAGCCATCTGTCACTCAAGCCAACACAGGAAGTGAACAGAATGCCAGTCAAGTATTTTCTCGCACACTGGACTCCAGTAAAGCACAGACGCTGAAGAAGCCCACCATACGCTCTTCCCCCTCTTCACCATCAAGAGCCAAAGGTACATTAAATCACACTAACACAGCCACACATGCTAACAGCAGGTGTTACAATGGTTAAATATTGCTGAAGACATTGCAGTGCCATATTAAATATTAAATCAGTGCACCGCTATTTATCTGCCAAAAAACTAGTTGATTGATTTCTTTTACCATTGCTGTATTTACAGTAAAAACAAATGCTTAGTTCTGTTCTGTCAGAAAACACAAAGATTCATTTCTCTTGATTTATTACGAGATCAGGTTTGTGCTTAGCAGGACCTAGTATAAGAAATTGAAGTGTCTGTAGAACATACTTATGTGAGACTGCATGCTCTCCTCTTTCTTGTATAAAGACGCTGACACTTTCTCACTTATTCTTGCTTCTCTCTTGCTGCTTTATTTTCTGTCAGCTAATCTCACTAAACAGCTTCCTGTCTCCTCTTTGTCATGCTGCGTTGGATGTTATTTGAATTCACAGCTGGAGACTTTAGTGAGTCACTCTCCTCCTGTATGAGCTCCCCAGGTATGGAGCGCCCTTCCTCTCGTATCTCCACAGACTCCCTCACCATCTCCACACCAACTTGGCCTAGCTCCAAGCGCTCCATCTGCTTCAAGAACGGTTGGCAGACAGGCAGGCATGAAAATACAGAGAACTGGAGCAGCGCTGATGATGATTCTGCCATGACCCCTACGTCACCACGGCTCAAATCGCGCAGCTGTGATGATTTGCTGTCTGATGGACACGGTGCTACCACCAATAATAATGGGAGAGAGGCCAATCCTGTTTCTAACACTCGTTCGGAAAGTGCGGGTTCACTTATTGATGAAGAAGCTCAAAAACCTCAAGTAAAAAGTCTTACCTCATCTCCCAGGGGCCGCCGTCATCACCGGCGTAAGTTGCCACATGATGCTCCAGGTTTCCTTCAGCTCTACAAGAAGATGCACCACATTGATCGTGAACAGTTATTGCCCTCTGAGGTGATTCGGTCTGTACGTGCACGAATCCTCGAATTGGAAAGACTACAGCAGCAACAAAGGCATAGCATTCATGGGTGGGCACCTTTAGGTCATGAGGTGCCACGGCAAATGGTTCCAAACCGTATATCTGCATATGAACAGCTTATCCAAAAATCAAAGTCTATGCCAGATCTTGGCGATGAAAATGCCCCTTCGGGCACCACCACACCCGGCTCCTCAAGGGCCAGCAGCTGCCCCAAGCGACGCTTTTCTGTTGAATCTCTTTTGGAAGAGGAGGATCCTCCAGAAAATGCTAGAAGTCCTCCTGAGGGTCAGCCAAGGTTGGGAGCCGACAGCTTGGTGCCAATTCATGGGAAGAACCAAAGGCAACATCAAGACTATTCGGACAGTGAACAGGACGCATGTGCCTCTGAAATAAGCGACATCCACATTGAAGGATCGTCATTGTGTAGTGAGAGCGACCTGGATCACTGCTCGCTCACCTCATCAGAAAGCTTCTATGGTTCTGGGCAACATCACCATCATGGACACCATCACCACTATCACCGCCACCATCACCAGAGTGTAGGTCAAAGTCAAGGTTACCAACACCGCCACCTTATCAGCTCCTGCAAGGGCCGCTGTCCGGCATCCTATACACGTTTCACTACAATGCTAAAACATGAGCGGCAACAAGAAAGGGCTCGACAGGAGTCCCATCCTGCAATTAGTTCTCCGCTTGCCCAACAATCACCCAGTGAGTCAGGCCTTTCCAAACTGGCCTTCCTGGTCAGCCCTGTGCCTTTCCGTCGGAAACGAGGCTCCCCACCAACTCAGCGGCGGCACTGCAGAAGTGGGCGCCCAAAATCTAAAACTGCAATTTATGAGGCTTTAGATGCCGCTTTACAGGACATTTATGACCACATAAGGGCGGAAAAGGGACAAGAACCAGCAAGGATGCCAGATGATAGCATATTGCGCCGGTTGTTGGAAGAGCTGCTGCCTGATGTGCCCAAGCGTAGCTCCTCGTTGAGGGTTCAGAGAGGGTCCGGCTCCCCCTCCTCGTCCCATGTCCACCAGCCTTATCATGGAGCCCACCAATGTGCCTCCTACCAGCAGCAACACCACCTTGCAGACACCTCCAACAACAACCAGCATAGTACTAATGCTAATGTGCACTGCTACTCAGGTGCATCCACAGTAGATCTCTAAAGCTGTCATCCTTCTGTATCATCGTTGCAGAATCCTCATGTCATTATCCTCAGATGTTCCCAACCAGAGACTTGCAAATGCTTACACTTCTTCTTTTCCACATGGCATGGAATCCAAGTTGAATATGCTAGCATGTTTTAACATGTATATGTTTATATAGTATTTTTAGATCAATTAAATGTGGACAGTTGTTGGTTTCCTGAAGGTAAATTCTCATTCTAGAAACTATTGACTGGTAAAATTGAGGTTTTATACTGGAGGTTTTCTAGTGTTAGTATATTTTAGGGTTCATTAGCTTTAAGTTATATTTAATATAAAATAAAATGGGTGTCTTTCTTTATGCCCATGTCATTATTTTATTTCATGCATTTTATTTGCATTGACAAAATTGGAAAAAAGAAGTATTAGCATTTCATGGTACAATTGATGTCTGGTATATGCATGATGTGTTTTAATAAACTTTATTTTCTGTTTTGATTTTGTTACCATCTCAAATCATTTCATAATGTTATATTTTGCTTCCTTTTTAAGCCTTAATTTTTACAGTGTTCTGTGATTTTTGGGCATGCCAATTTTAATGTATGTTGTGCAGTTATATCCAGATCATCCCTTATGTTTTACTTGACCCAAAACGTAAAATAAATGTTTGTACGTTTTTAATTCAACTCATATTCCTTTTGACATTGGAATGCTGCCACCATGAATAATGTTACAGTGTTTTTCTTTTATGCTGACCTTTTCTATCTGTTTCCACAGATCAGGGCTCTGATACAGGACGAATTACTCCACAAAGCAGAAGACTCACACCAGAAAGAGAGGTAGAAATGTAGCCGTTCTCATATCTATTTTCACATTAATTAGTTTTCAGTTAATTAGAACCATGTTTTGAAATCTACAGGGAATACATCATTGATTATACAGTAAAAACAAGGCAGTAGAAACCAGTCAGAGCTTATCATCTTAAAGCCTGAATCCTAATTGTGCTACGCCAGAAATCCTACAATCCTGTGACCTTCATTTTGGTTACGGTCACAAAATATAGGGCTTAGGTGTGCATATGTTGGATAGCTTATGGTCTTTTTGCTTGCCTCGCAGGTCTCTTCTAAGCAGATGACCTATCTTATATTGTCTTCTCTCCTCCATCAGAAACAGTCTGCCAGAGCAATTTATGATTTTAAAGCTCAGTCTGCCAAGTGAGTATACAGAAATGTGAAAGAAGCTCACTGGTGCATGCCAATAACATCACAGCATTTTCAGCTTCATCAGTTTATTTTTTATTTTTTGTGAAGGTGCATTTCATTTGAATGTTTTCATGCCATTTTCCTTTTTTATATATGCATTTTTGATGTTGCAGTTTTTGCTATTTTGCATACTAACTCGCTTAAGCCAAATTGGTGTCTGTATCACCATTGCTCACATGCACGTCCTGATTTTGCCAAGTACAATGCAACCCTGGATTAACATCTATGTTGATCCTGGAACAATTTTTGCTCAAAAATGCAATCCATACCTATTCCCTACCCCTAAATCCAACCATAACTGTAAATTATTCCCAAAATCAGAGGGGAATAACTGTTGGATAACAGTCATGTAGATGTGTGAAACCAGTGTTAGTTTTGACAGCAAATTTTGATTTACTTTTAGTTTTAGATTTTTGACAAAAATTCCATTTTAGTTTGTAATTTATTTGTCTTCTTAATCATTTTAGTTTTAGTCGACTAAATTTCATAAAATTTTAGTCAACTAAATGTACTCGAGATTATTTATATTTGGCTTAATTTAAGTGTAATTTAATTAAAATATTGTAGACATTTATTTATACAAAATAGTCTAACTTACAATTAGAGTCTCGTTAGTCTCATTAAAATATGTAATATAGCTTTTCCATTGAAGGCCAATTATTAGATATGTATTGTTTAATTGTATCATAGGTGATATGTAAAATGATGTGTCTGCAAGAACAGTAGACTACTGAAAATGCAGGAATTTGCAATTATTTAGCAAACTCTTTATTTGTACGTGGTAAACTAGTAGTCTTTTTGACCAGTCTGTTAAACAGTTTCATGCCATTACATTTTTGAAAGGGCTTAAAATAGATTTAAGTCCACTTTGCATTGTCAGTTTATAGCAAGCTGTACTGTTGTAGTTGCTGTTACAGTACATGGTACTCAGCTGTATAGCACTGAGTAAATAAGTAGAGTAATGACTTGAGTAATGAGTAATGACTGGCAAATGATAATGCGTTATCTTTTAAAATGTGCTTTTAGTCCCATGGTTCTGTTAGCTCACATAGAAGAATTAGAAAAGACTATAGCATACATCAATTATTTATTTAGTTTCATCTAGTTTTTGTAGGTAGACTCTTATTTGTCATAAAAATTATGCAGAAACTTTTTTGTCAACGAAATCAACACTGGTATAAACCAAACCGTAAGCCATAAATGGTAAACACATCTCCTAATTCTGATTGGCTGATTGGAATATTGTTCTAGGATCAGCATAGATGTTAATCCAGGAACATGTCCTACTTTGTGAAATCAGGTTGGTCGTGATGACATCGCTGTCAATCATTGCATGATGAAGTATCAGTTTGCTTGAAAATCTTTACCTATTAAAGAATTTCAAGGTCTATGAATTGCACTTGAAATGGTATAACAATAGTGGTCACACACATTGTTGTAGCTTGGGAATAACAAATGTTCCCAGTGACTAAAAAGAAACTCTTGGGGGGGAAATGAGATTTATTCTTTATTTATTCTCCTGGACTGATGAACATTGTAAAGTCTGCAATTATTTTCAGGAAAACAGATAGCTCAAGTTGTTGCAGACAAATCTTGACCACATTAGAGTTCTTTACAGTTATTGAGATGCAGGATGAGATGCAAAAGAAGCTAATCATACACTAGGGAGCAGTTTAAAAATGACAAACCTGACAAGTGTGTTGAAATAAAACATTTGAACATTGTCTTTAGGTTTGATAATCACAACATATATCACTCTGTCTCATTGAATATTAAACAAATTACGCAGCTGAGGTGTGCCAGCTACTCTGCTTAATGCCAATGCTGCATCACCACATCAGATGTGAATTGTTTTTTAATAAATCCGTGACCTATGGTCTATTATTGTTGGGCAAAGTTACTTTTATATGTAATATAGTACATTAATAAGCCTAAAAATCTCAATAAAAACACAAGACACCATAACACATCCTTCCACATTAATTCCCTAAAAAGTAATTAACACATTTAGTTACCTTTTTAAAAGTGACTTACGTTTTTAGTATATTACTTTTGAAAGAAACTTAACCCAACACTGTATAATGTATGTTTATAGACACAAACATGTTTGCACGTCTGTTTGCAGGGAAATTTCCTTTAAAAAGGGTGATGCTGTCAACATCATCAGACAGATTGACAGTAACTGGTATGAAGGTGAACACAGAGGGCGGATTGGGATTTTCCCCATCTCTTATGTCGAGGTCAGTGATTAAATAACCTAAATAAATCATCTAAACTCCTGCCCCAGCACACTTAATCACATTCTCTCTTGCTCTATCCCTCCTTATTTCTCTCTTTCAGAAGGTGGCGTCTCCAGAGCGGAGACAGCCTGTCAGGCCTCCTCCTCCAGCTCAGGTTCGAGAGATGGGAGAGGCCATCGCGCGATACAACTTCAATGCTGACACTAATGTGGAGCTTTCTCTCAGAAAGGTAAATGTACTAAAACACATATACTTGCTCAGCTCACCCTGAATCATAAAGTTTAATGCATGCATGCTTGTTGTTGCTTTTGTAGGGGGAACGGGTGATCCTCCTAAGGAAGGTGGATCAGAATTGGTATGAAGGAAAGATTCCTGGCTCAAATAAGCAGGGCATTTTCCCTGTGTCCTATGTCGATGTGATCAAGGGCTCACCTTCTAAGAGCCCCAGTCACCAAGGAGACACGCACACATATAGAGCACAGAAGGTAAGCCTTTAGCACCATTATTGGACCATCACACCCCTAAAAAAGGCTTTTCACACTTGAAAAAGTGTCATGCTAAACCCTGGGTAAATTAATTCCTGTTATCTTTCTTAAACTTCAAATGGCTCCTAATTTTACTAAGAGTTAACACATATATCCAACACAATCTCACGGCAATTCGTAACGTTTTCATTTATTGGCTAATTCGTATGAATTGGTACGATCTAATTTGTACAATTTAGTACGATTTGCTTATCCCCTAATGACGGTTGGGGTTAGGGGTGGGGTTAGGTGCCACACCTCCTTTTTAAAATCGTACCATTTCGTACGACTGAAATCGTACGAATTAGCCACTAAACTGGCAAAACGCAAAATACTTACGTTTTCTCTTGAGATCAGGCTGGTATATCTGGTAGTCATTTTACACTCACACTGTTAGTTTATTAGCATATTTGTACATATTGCGCCATTGCGACAGATTAAATGCATTGTGCAACCTGTTTGTAAAAACAACATTGCACATTCTTATGTTATTAATTGGAAACTTCTATCAAGTTGTTCCTGATGAAATTGTATTGAGACTATAGTTTTAGTAATAAAATAATCTCTTTTTCACTCTAAAACACAAAGTAAGATATCTGATTGGTTGTCGTTGTTGTTGTTGTTTTCTGCCCCCGTTTTCTGGGGGGGAGAACAAAACCGAAAACCACCCAGCTATACAAATTCCACACAGCCTATAACAAGCTGTCTGAATAAACACACACACCCATAAGCACCAAGCAAGTGACACACACAGACAGCATCACACTCTCTCTCATTCACACGCACACACACACACACACACAAACACAGCAACAAACAAGCTAAACACAGCATCACGCTCTATCATTCGCACACATACATACGCGTGCTCTCTCGCTTGGGAATCAGGAGCGATATTGTTAGACCGCCCGCTCCCGTCCTAAATTACACCAGTTACCGTTATTCGGAAATTTATTCCCGCGCCTCTGGTCGGGTCCTGCGGGAATGCAGACCTCTAGCTTGCACAAACAAAGCCACCGGACAGATGCACACTAGAAAGAATCATACTTGTCTAGCGTCAGAGAGATAAAAATATCTGTAAATGAGTTTAAACTACATTCCTAGGTATCATTTATTTTCCCCTCTAAACACTCAGCATGGCTTCTATTGTTACTTAAGTAGTTCATTGTTGTTGGGTTTTTCTCTATTCAAACTCTATTTCTCTATATATGAATCAATGGGTGGGGCAAACTAAATGAAAAAAAAATAAAAAAAATCAGTGTGGATGTGCTTGTAAATAAGCATGATTACCATAATTAGGTTGAATACACAATATGCACATGCTGTTCTTGAGACATCATTTGTGTCTCACGCTGTACACCACAATGCATCACAAAAGGGGTGTTTAGCCTGCTGTGGATCATGTGGGAATGGTTTCTTTACCCAGGGTTCAAAGCAAGGATTAGAATGATGATTACAGTGTAAAAATTCTGTCCTTAATACTTTATTTACATCGACAAACTGGTCTTCCTGTTTTGTTTTTCTTTGCTCAAGCATGATAAAGTCTCCCATCTGCTGTGCCTTGAATCTGCCACTAGGACACACCTTCAATCAGTCACTAGCGAATGGCTGTCACTCACATTGGGTGTCTCCACCACTTATGCATCTTCCTGTGGCAGTCCTTTGCCACCCACACCTCCTCCTTTACCCAGTGACCTGCACTACACAGGCCCACAATCCCCTACTCCACCTGTGCGAAGGTTCCACCCAACACAAAACCTTTCTCCAAAATGCTCCCCTTTTTTTCTCAGCCAAGGACCAATCACTTCAGAGTCCTTAAACAGTCCCTGTTACTCCGATGAACTTCTCTACAGAGATAAACTAACAGCAATAGATGTAGCACAGTCTTTCAGTTTACCTATGAAACAGATCAGAGATCATGAACAAGAGATGGGTCACGATGGTAAACAGTTCATAGAAGAACTGAATGTAAAGGAGCAAACCTTGAAGCAAAACAGTGACCCATCTAGCCTAATAAGCGAACCTGATCCATATGGTGAGCTTATGTCAATGTTTCTTAAAAATCAACTATATAATGAACTCGAGTTCAAATTGGCCATTCGGTCGAAAAACATAGCTAATCAAGAAGTATTACCTGCTGAGCCACTGCCCATCAAGCCAAGCAGCAAATTAGAACAAAAACTAGAAAAACAGCACGATAACTATGAGAAAAAGGCTGAGGAGTTGTTGTCAGTTATTTGGAATGAGAAAACAGAGTTCCACAGTCCAGCCACGTTACAATGGGAGGATCTTCCTGAGTTGTACATACAAGAGGATGATGAAAAAATCTGCACTTCAGGGTTAAAGGAAGAGGTAGTACTTGCAGTGTGACAAAAGCATGTTAGTCCCCAAAACCCAAAATTTTTTTTGCAAAATTTACATAAATTTTTTGCATGTTAATTGACTAAATTAGAGGGGCCATACCTACTATCAATGTAGTATTACTTAGTGTTTCTTAACTTGACTGGCTATGTTGATAGCACATCAAAGGCACATTTTAAACTAGAAAGATAATAATAATGATTTCCGGTAGCATTGTAAAAGTATTGATCCGAAGGCTTAGCAGAGCCTTATTTTGCTTTTTTCCAGTGCTTAAATTGTAAACTGCGTGGTCCCCGAACAGATCAGGGTAACGGATCTGGCATGTTACCAGAGAAGGGGAAAGGTGTCGCGGACGGAAAGGAAAAGGTGGGGGAGTGGGGCGGGGCAGGGGTATGTGTGAGGAAGGGGATCAGTAAAATGAGGTGCCGGATCAGATTTCAGAGGTGCACAAATTATTCAGGCACAAAATAAGCCACGGCTTTTCCTATTATTCAGAAATAAACGGTTGTGCCAAAAAACAAATATTGAAAGGCATATACATGCAAACATTGATAATTTTATAGTAGGATTTCTGAACCTTAAAATATATTTAAAGAGTTCACACTTAGCTGATGATTCGTTATAAGCTTGTTTGGCATGCTCTCCCAAGAGAGATCCCTGAGCTTATAAGATCCTTGAGTCCTGGGCTTCCTCCCGTTGGCAAGGTGAGCGGGGAATTTGAGATCAGGGTGATTTCGATGAACTCCACAGACTTATTTCTGACTAATGACAGATGTAGGGATGCTGAGGAGAGATATATGACTTGCTAAGAGCTTGACAATGATGCTGGTTTGGTATGTTCAATTTACTTAGGTTGCGTGTTTTTTGAACTGCGGGAGGTATCCGGAGAACCCAAGGAGCCCGAGGAGAACGAGCAAACTTCACACAGAAATGCTGACCGGTTTAGTAAGGACTTTAACCAGAGATATTCTTGCTGTGAGGCAACAGTGCTAATCACTGGGCTGCTGCGGTGTGGGGGATTCTTCAAGACGAAGATACTGAGATAAAAATCTCTGGTTATTTATAGTGAGTTAGGAATCATCTGATTGGTGAATCGATCGAAAGCTAATGCGGGTCCAGACGTGGGCGATCATAAGCATGTGATACTCTCAAAATTAGTTTATAAATAAACTTTACTTAAAACAAGTAGTTCTGTTCCTTTATTTTGATTAGTTAAAGGTTATAAAATACTTTATAATCATTCACCTATGACTGTTGCTTGGCAATCATTCCACTATCTTTACTGAGTAAAAGAGTTAGTCCTACTAAACAGCCCTTAACTGTTTTAAATTCACTGTAAACTACAGCTTCTTGAGACTTATTGCTTTAGCCTACAGCATCTCCATTTACAAAGATTATGGGCAATAATTTACATTGATATGGCCCCTTTAAGTAGTCTTCATTACACTAGTTCTTGTGTAATTTTAAAAATCTGGTAAAAAGTTGTAAAGGGTAGTGAACCTCAGTAGCAGAACAATATTTCAGCTCTGTTCTTCTCTTTGCCAGGCCGACTCCTCCTCCGTCACTCCATCTTTCCCCATGTCTTCTTCCCCCACCTCTGATTCCTCCCTTCCTCAATCTTCCACTGGCTTTTCTTCTACAAACACTGAATCATCTCCACTTGCTGTTCAGTGCACTCCGCTGTCTGCTGCCAAACATTCACCATGTTCTCCTCCAATTCATCTGGCTTCATCTTTTGAATTGGTGCCCTATTTCTCCTCTAACCTCGCAACCTCAGTTATTTCTTCCCCTTCAGAGTCTCCTCCCCCTCCATTATCTCTCTATACTCCTCTTCCTTCCCCTCCTTCTTCTCCTCCCTACTCCCCAATCCCTCTTCCTCCACCTCCTTCAATGGCACTCAATATTCCTCCTCCTTCATCCTCTTCTTTGCCTTCTAATCCTCACAACACATCATCACCATATCCTCCTCCTTTCTCTCCACAAGCTATTATTTCTTCTGTTCCTCCTCAGCTTTTCTGTTCTCCTTCTGCTCCTATTAACTCTACTTGCTCATCTCCTCTTCAAATCCTTCCATCATCTCCTTTTCCTTCATTACATCCTCCTCTTTATTCATCTTGCAAGCCTCTTCTACCAACTATTCCAGCCTCCCCACCCTCTTCTCCCTCTCCTCCTCCATCTTCTTCAGACATAGCTCCACCCTCTGCCCCTAAATCTCTTCCTCTTCTTTCCTCTCCTCCTCCCTCCTCTGTTCCTGTGGTCTCCTCTACATCCACCCCTCCATCATCTTCCCCTGTTTGTCCTCTCTCCCCTCGTTCACAGCCCCAATCTCCTAAGATTAAGGTAAAAAAAATGAACAATATTTAATCTTTTTGTAGATATGCATATATTCATTAACTTAAAGTAAACACGGGTGACGTGTGGTGCATGTATGGTACATGTGCATTGGTGTATGTTGATTACCTATAGAATAACCTCATTAAACAGTAACAAAGTTCCTTTAAAGTTGCGGAGTGGTGGGAATGTTTAGATGTCTGTACTTTGCACTGGGTCTGCGATACGAATGCTGAGGACTGGGGGGGTTGTAAAATTCTGGGAGTTTTCTAGGAGAAAAAACAAAACAGGAGATGGGTCTGAAATACGGGAGACTCCCGGAAAAAAGGCAATGTTGGCAGGAATAGTGGGCGGAGGTGAGACCCGCGTGAACCAGCGAGTGTTTACAAGTGTGGAGTCCCATGAGGGAGCTTCAGATGGAAACTGTTTTTTTGTGTTTACCTTATGATTAAAGTTGTTGCACACCCGCCGATTCCCGAAAAAACACTAGCGAAGAAACTCAATACAGCGGAACATAAAAACCTACAAGGATACATGCATGGCTAAGCACTTTACATGCACCGTGGGTCACACCGATCACTCGACACAGAAGTATAAACCAGGCTTAAGGCAGGTCATTTCACTCAGCGACCATCTTTGAAAAGCCTCTCTCTCTGTATGCTCGGCATTCTGTCTTAATGGGGAAACATCAAATTCTCCAAAACGGTTTGCCAAGCTTACGATTACATTACATATTTGGAACCACCAATGAAATTACCCATCAAATGTCTCATAAGTTTTGTTTCTAAATGTTCGAATCAATCAAAATCTGCATATTTTCAGGTTGCTCGAGCAAATGTACATGCCCACAAGGAACAAGATCACGACACCAACCTCATGGTCGTTCTACACATTATGATCGCGCTGCTCTTCTAAAGTAATTTACAACTTGGCCTTAATGGTGAATCTCCTCCAGAAATAAAATTGACTCTTTGTTTACAAATTTGTGGGTGTTTGAGTAATTGTGAATAAATGTGATGTGTGAATGACAGGACGGACTGTACCTCACGTTCTTTTCATACAGATTACAAAACCAACAAAAAAATAATAATTTATTGTTTTTAAGTGCACTCAGTTCATGTTTATTTAAAAGCACCAATTTTAAGCTTTTTCTGGATATTTTTTTTCTTATGTCTGTGAAGCAAGTATTCACTGAGATTCCAGTGCGTTTGTTGACCACCAAACTGTCATAAAGGCACATGTCTGGTCTGAGCTTCTTTGTCAATCTTTAGCGATTGAAGATGGGCTCCTGTACTTGTAGGCGGGGCTTCATTCGCCATATTAATCATCACACGTTTCCCCATTCAAAACTATACATGTGACATGTCTTGTGTATACTATGATCTTTGACAGTAATAGACTCCTGCTTTGACATACTCGCCCAGTTCTGATTTGAAGAAGTGTCTGGCATAAGAGGTAGATGCACTTTCAAAGATGCTAAAGACCACAGCATCTTGTGTCTGTTACTAGAACACAGAGGTGAGAGGAATTAGGTTTACTTTACAGCTCTTGCACCTGTTGCACTCACCCCTATCTGGGTCACGGCACCAATTTAACCATTCTAGTTCACCTCGCATTACATTAAGCATTATTCAAACTATTATTCCCAGTGTGCTAACAATTGCTAAGACCACAGCCTCTAGTGACTGTCGCTAGTATCTTTCTTAAAGCAAAAGGGGTTTATGTAAACAGCTGTTACTTTATGGCCTGTATTACACTTACTTCCCTGAACCTAGCTCCCATCAAATATACCAGCGTAGCCCCTCTGGTTCTGCTCCCATTATTTTAAGTGGGATTCAAAATATTATAATAACTTCACAATAATAATAATAAGGATGGAACTCTCATCTGGGTCATGGCACCAATGTAAGCCCTCTGGATCTGCTTGTTTTGATGCCAGCAGAATTTGAACTGGCAACTTGCATACTTTTGATGGGGAAATTATTGACACAATACAACCAGCTGAACTGTCCTTATTTTCCTTTGTCCTTTATTCTAAATATGGCAATACTGAAAGTAGGATGAGTGTGTTTGTGCATGTATGTCTACAATATGTCTCTTACTTGCAAGCTAAATGGTACTTAAGATAACTTAGTAACAATACTAAAGATTCTGTAATGACTACTAAAGCTTAACCGTACTTAAATTGGAAATAACATGAGCAGTGATTTTATGACGGAGAATGAGGTTGTGAATAACTCGGAGATGGATTTTGTATGAAACTGCTGATTGGCTGCTTTGCATTTGATTCTTGCAGACAGTTTATAGGCAGGAAGTGGTGGTTGAGGGTAAGCCACCTCGTAGCCCAATTTCCACAAGGAGGCGCTGTTTTTCTCCCTGTTTATCACCCAGTAGAGCACGAAGGGTAGGATGGAGTGTGCTGTGACACTAGCAGCATTGCAGACTGGAAAATAAAGCCTAATCCTTTTTTACAGTTCTGTGATCTCAAACTGGGTGAATTTCCCTTTTGTGTGTATTGTAACAACAGGTTGTCTCTAAGCTCTGTGATGATGATGATGAAGACTCACAGAATGACATCCTGTGCCTGGATTTAGCATGATGTTCTGATGCATTAAAGTGCTACATGTATATTATACAGTTTTTTTCTTTCTTTCAGAAAATGATGCAGGATTCTCAGCATGCAGGTGGTGACCCGTAAGTATTTTTTAGCACTTTAATTTTGACTATTCACTAATGATGTTCTATTACTAAAATGTTATTAAATGTTTAATATAGCTTCCAAGCTGTGTATAACTATGTGCCTCGTAATGAGGATGAGCTGGAGCTGAAGGAAGGGGATGTTGTTGATGTTGTCGAGAGATGTGACGATGGCTGGTTTGTTGGTAAGTCTTTTATAAAGATAATACAGTGCCTTTATAGGTGGTATGCAATTTTCAAGGGTTTGTGATTTGTTAATATAGACTATTCTACATTGTGAAGACAAAATTGTCGGCCCTCCTGTGAAATTTGTTGTTGAATGACTTTTTGACAATGAATTAACCTACCTTTCCTTGTTAACCTCAATAATCTAGTTAAGCCTTTATTGTGCACTTTAAAATTATAATTTAAACTATATGTATATACACTCACTGGCCACATTATTAGGAACACCTGTCCAACTACCCGTTAATGCAAATTTCTAACTCAACTCAATGCATTTAGGCATGTAGACATGGTTAAGACGATCTGCTCCAATTCAAATCGGGGGAAGAAATGGGATTTAAGTGGCTTTGAAAGTGGTGTTGTTTGTGCCAGACGGGCTGGTCTGAGTATTTCTGAAACTGCTGTTCTGCTGGGATATTCATTCACAACGATTTCTAGGGTTTACAGAAAATGGTCTGAAAAAGAGAAAATATCCAGTGACCGGCAGATCTCTGACCGCAAATGCCTTGTTGATGCCATAGGTCAGAGAAGAATGGCCAGACTGGTTCGAGCTAATAGAAAGGCGACAGTAGCTCAAATAGCCACTCGTTACAACCGAAGTATGCAGAAGAGCATCTCTGAATGCACAACACATCCAACCCTGAGGTGGGAGGGCTACAGCAGCGGAAGACCACACTAGGTGCCACTCCTGTCAGCTAAGAACAGGCTCACCAAAATTAGACAATAGATAATTGGAAAAACGTTGCCTGGTCTGATGAGTCTCGATTTCTGCTGCGACATTAAGATGGTAGGGTCAGAATTTGGTATCAGCAACATGAAAGCATGGATCCATACTGCCTTGTATCAATGTTTCAGGCTGCTGGTGGGGGTGTAATGGTGTGGGGGATATTTTCTTGGCACACTTTGGGGTCATTAGTACCAATTAAGTACCAATTATTAGTACCATTGTGTCAAAGCCACAGCCTACCTGAGTATTGTTGCTGACCACGTCCATCCCTTTATGACCACAGTGTACTCATCTTCTGCTGACTACTTCCAGCGGAATAGCGCGCCATGTAATAAAGTGCGAATCATCTCAAACTGGTTTCTTGACCAAGATGCTCAAATGGCCTCCACAGTCACCAGATCGTAATCCAACAGAGCCTTGTTGAATCTATGCCATGGATTAAAGCAGTTCTGAAGGCAAAAGGGGGTCCAACTCAATACTATTAAGGTGTACCTAATACAGTGGCCAGTGATAGTAGATTTCTAAGTATGTTTACATTTTTCGCTATGGTTACTGATTATGTCTCTCACCTATCTCTGATTAAATTACATCATTGGTTGTATTCAGTTTAGCTTGTTGTTCATTTGTTTCATATGTCATTTTTTTCTATTTGACACACACTGTGACTTTTCTGTGAGTGAGGGATTTCATGAAAGCTGTTGTATTGTATTGCTGATGCACTGTGCTTGTTTTTAGGTACGTCTCGGAGAACCAGGTTATTTGGAACGTTCCCAGGAAACTATGTTAAGCCGCTTTAACAAAGAGGAAATAATGGCACAACTATGGCCACTCCAGTGCCTACTGTGTAGGGCCAACGAGGCGCCTCACCTTTGAGAAAGTGTGTCTTTGCGTGCGAGAGTGTTCACAGACACTACAGTTTTAGCTCTGCCATTTCTGCACAGACGAACCACGGAAGTTACTTCACTGAGCACTTTTTTTTTCGTGCCACCACGCAGTCTCCTCGCCGTTCTTTCACCTGCTTTTCTGACGATAGCACACACAGCAATGTTTTTCCAATGTTTTGTTATTTTCCAGGAATTAGCACGATGAGGATTCAGACACGATATTGAGTAAGGTCAGTAGATCAGTACGATCTGAGAGACAAAACTCAGGCATCAATGTTGAACTGAATGTGTGTGTGTGTGTGTGTGTGTACTTTTTTATATTGTTTATGAGGACACTATATTGTATAATGACATGGTTATGACCTACTGTAGTCTATTAAGGTGGATTACAAGGGATGCCTTGTGTTCTTGTAATTTTAAAAACTAAAAATTATACTTGCGTATTTTAATATTCAAAATTTGCCACCAAAAAACATATAATAAGCATTTTTGCAGTATAAAGTACAATACGCCTATGATAGTCCTCATAAACCATATATACACAGCAAAATCCTCTGAGTAAAATTTACTGAGTTCATAGTGTATTTTGTCCCTCTCTAAATTGAGTAATAGTGAAGCTGCGGACACACTTGAGTTTGTGTCGTACAAGGGGTGGGATTAAACAGGATAATTGCACATTAAAAAACGTGAGTGAAAAAACGTGCGTAGCCATGTATTTATACTTCTGCACGCTGTTTCTGTTGCTCTGCAATAACACTTCCTAAACACTAGCTGGCAGTAGGTGTTTATGTTCCTCTGTGTCGAGTTTTTTCACTGGTGTTTTGTTTTTTTCTGAACACTACCTTACTATACAAGTGGCTCAAACCCACTTATTTTAAGACAGGAATCGACATACGTGCAACAACTTTATTCACAGGTAAACACAAAACAACAGTTTCTATCTGGAGCTCCTTCACGAGACTCCACACTTGTAAACACTCGCTTCATCAAACTTGTACCTCACGTCGCTGCGATGTGTAGTTACACATTTTTTAAGAGTTGTGGGCCAGCGTCGCCGACGGCCACAATGAGGGCTATGCTTCCACGCATAGGCTGCGCCAGAGCATACACGTGTGCTTGACGCAGAAATATAAATCAGCCTTAACTCAGCCATACAATGTCAGATCTGCCTGAAAATTCCCAGGTTTGATAAGATTTCACTCCTAAAGACATCTACATACCAATATTGAGTTACAGTCATACCGCCACCTGCTGACAGAAGGAAGTTTGGCATAGATCAGTGATTTTCTCTGATTTTTAAAATATTTATCAGCTTAAATTATTATTGTTCACTATTCTCTGTCATCCTAAGACCACCGGGTGCAGCTTTAATTTATGTCTGTGTTTTGAGTTTTTCAGATGTTCAGTGCAGTTTATAACTTGATAAAGGTATACTTAGTCAGGTAATTCTCATTAATATCACTATATGGAATTTTGTAGAGTCTGGTAGAAATAAGGCCAAACAAGTTGGTAATAAGTAAAGCTGCTGTTTGTGTAGTTGCTTAATGATCCTCTGTTGAGTTTTTGAAAGATTCAAAGTGTTTTATTTCAGTTTATTTCATCTTAAGCCCTGCTTACACTGAGATTTCAGCCACAATTTTTTAATCTAAGACAAACTTGGGAAATCCTAAAAGATTCCTGAAATCCTAGACTAAAATAAGTGGTCTTTGATCGTTAGTTTGACATGTTCGCTAGCAGCCGCTTATTGCCCTTTTCGATCAGATTTTTTCTCCGATGAAGTTCTGGCAGTGTCAGAAGATTTCAGACACTTTCCTGCTTTGTGACAACAGCTGTGATGAGCGTCAATCCAAGAACCAATAGGAGCTCCTCATTTGATGAAGCAATCCATGCGACAATTCAAACATCCATGGGGAAATGTCAAAACAGTTTTTTTCTTCCTGGTTTAAGCTACAGATTGTTTATGTTTGCTGTTTGGAATCATTTCAGAACGCAGTATAGTGAAAGTGTCATGGGTGGATGGCGTCAAACTCCGAGGGCATTTCCATTCGTGTTTGGTGCGTATTCATTGTCTTTCAGTCTGAGTTTATGACAGCTAAGATCTTATAATGTGACAAGAGAGCCATGTTCTTGCAGTCTGACATGCTACAATTGTTCAGGATTATAAAAAAAAAAATCACAAAGTGTGAACGGGCCTTTAGGCTGTGACTGAAGGTTGATGTAGTTTTGTGTGTTCTCTTCTGTTTCTGCTTATTAGCAGCAGGTGTTCATCATCATTGCTTAATTAGTCCCTTTACTGTTTCATTACCTTTAACTCTGCTGCTGAGTAACTTTTACTCAATTTAGCGAGGGACCAAATGCACTGTGAATTGAGTCAATTTTGCTCAGAGGATTTTGCTGTGTACAAGTGTGTGTGTGTGTGTGTGTGTGTGTGTGTGTGTGTGTGTATTTAACATGCAAAGTTAATAGCAATAGAGACCACTGGTTATAAAAGGTGATGAATAGTTTCGTTTAAAATGATCTAAAAGTGATTTAATGGACAATTTATGATGTTGCTCATTCCCCGTTTTTGTGGCCAAAATAAAAAGGTAATAGGAACATTTAAGTGTATAGGAAACATACTTTTGCCATACAGACTTATGAAATATGAAGGATTTTTGCTGTTGTTTAAGTGGCAATCTTTAATATAGGATAATGTCCATATAATTATCAGTGCATTGGGTATTTGTATAAGTTGTCTTTAAAATGAAAGTGCATTGAAATTCTGAAAAAAGAAAATGCTTTTATGGGATTTGGTATAAAGTATTTGATTATTGAACTTGTTTTTATAATGTTTACTTGAGACTTTTATGAATAGGCTGTTTTAGAATTGTAAACCAGATTTTTACACAGTAACAATCTGTAAAACTGCATTAGAAATGAATGGCAACAAATGTTACAATATCAAGGAGAGCCTGCTAAAATGTTTCACTTTTTATTTGTTCAACTAATTTATCTGAAAGGGTTCATCTTGCAATTTTCCTTTTGAGCATTCTGGTATAACATTTGAATTATGTAATTTATCTGCCACGTTTCACATGAGATGCACTCTTTTAAAAATTGCATTGTATAGCGCAATAGAGAGAGAGGGGGGGAGGGGGGTTGTTGGTCTTTGATGAATGTTGTTTATAAGCTTGTCCGACATTTAAAAATTCATGTTTAGTTTTTGAAGGATTTGTACATCAGTATTTTCTGCACTAAGTGTATCACTTGTTGTGTTCTCATCTGAAAACATATAGCTTGTGTTGCATCAGCTTTTACGAGTATGTTTATTCAGTGTATGAAAAAGTATGTCTGAAGTTCACAGGCAGTAAAGCAATCTTAAAGCACCTTAAGCATTTATTAGTTCTCTTATTTTTGTTTTCTTTAAAGTTGAAGTGTGTTCATATGATTTCATGAAATATTGCATCATTTTGTAGCGTGATATGCATAGGTAAACCAATTGTAAGTAGATTCATCCAGCTGACCCTTTTCACAGACTTTCCTGATGCGTTTTCACAGTCATCATTAGCATTAAAAGTAATGCAAGGTATTTAATGTAATAACGCTATTATTTGTGTTATTTTACCTTGGCATGACTAACTGAAGTCTCTTTCTCTCCTCTTATCAACTTGCTATGGACGTTCTGAAAGGCCATGCACTCAAATATTTTTTCTTACTAGTTTTATCGTGATCTCAACATAACTAAAAGTAGTTTTTTTTTGTGATCACAACGTATTAAATGTTGTTTTCCCGTTATTCTGACTTAATTTTTGAGGGTTATATGCTTAGAATAAGCATATTTTGTCTATATTATACAGAAGATAAAAAATATAGTATTAGTTATATAAAGTATATTAGTTATAAAGCAACGCATGTTTTTTTCCTATTTGATTGTGACCCCTGGGGTCTCAATATGTTAGATTCAAGACAGCATAGGGTCAGATGCAGCAGATTGATTTCTTGGCACCAGGGTAAACTTTCTGACACCTTTACGGCACGCGTATACATTAAAATGAATTACAGGCAACGACTAAACATGGCGGATTATCTCTGAGTGGCGTTCTTCAAAAATAAACAAAGAATAGACTTGAGGATATTGGTGTGTGTGAACCATATTGGTGGTCGTGAGTCACTGGCATTGTTATTTTTTGGGTCGCAGGGTTGAAAAGTTTGGGAACCCCTTTTGTATATGATTCTATTTCATTATTTACAACAATATTTCCTAAACTGGGGCTTCACAGTGGCACAGTGGGTAGCCCGACAGCAAGAAGGTCACTGGTTTGAGCCACGGCTGGGTCAGTTGGCATGTTCTTCCTGTGTTTGTGTGGGTTTCCTCCGGGTGCTCTGGTTTACTACACAGTCCGGAGACATGAATTAGGTGAATTAGGTAAACTAAACTGTCTGTAGCATATGTGTGTGTGAATGAGTGTATGGATGTTTCCCAGTGATGGGTTGCAGCCCGAAGAGCATTTGCTGTGTAAAACTGCTGGATAAGTTGGCGGTTCAATCAGCTGTGGCAACCCCAGATTAATAAAGGTACTGAATGAATTCCCTTAACTGTTTATACCATTTTAGAGCTTGGGTTTTAGATGGTGCAAAATAAGTTGTTACATGTAGGAATTAGGTAATGAAGAATAATGAAGATCCTGCTTTTGCTTTAATGAACCTATGGCAGTTAGACAACTATAGTTGTTTATAATTACATGAAAAAGTGAATCCCTTTAAATAAGGCAATATGGCTAACACTTTACAACAAGGTTGTATAAGTTAATGTTAGTTAAAGCATTTACTAACATGAAAAAATAATAAACAACACATTTGTTCCAGTACTTGTTCATGTTAGTTAACATGAAAATACAGTTGTTCATTGTTAGTTCATGGTAACTCACAATGCATTAGCTAATGTTAACAAGCATGACTTAGGATTTTAATAATGCATTAGTAAATACTGAACTAAGATTAATAAATGCTGTACAAGTGTTTTCCATAATTAGTTCATGTTAGTAAATACATTAACTAATGAAACCTTGTTTTAAAGAGACCGCAATATGAAATATCTACAGCATCTAGGACATCCTCTTATGCCAAATAAGCAGAAAAATAAGTCATAAACTGAAGAAAACAACTTTTGTTATGTCAAAATGACCAGAAAATTAAGTTGTTATAACAAGAAAACAACTATTGATGTGCCAAGATCACAAAAAAATGAAGTCATTATAACAAGAAAACAACTTGATATGTTGAGAATGAGAAAACGAGAAAGAAAAATATAATACCGCATAGCCTCTAAGGACTTTTGTAACTTGCTGTAATCAAGATCTATTTTTTTTCTCTTGCTACAAAATCAAACGGGAACTCATAAAATTATGTCTATTTCTAGTTTCTGATCAAGAATCCCAGAAATTGTGAAAAGGGTCCAGGATGGTCCCATGTTAATTTGTACACATGATGGTTTGCATTTGGAGTGGAGGTGTTTGGTTGCCCAGTGGTAGATGTGAAGTATTTTGGAAACCTGTACAGAAAGAATTGTAATTACATTTGATCCACATAAAGAGCTGCATACTCATAATAAGCCGATTTTATTTCTTTAAATAGAGCTCACGATTCTCACAATGTTCTCAATAGGGAACCAAAAGAAACTTAAAATGTTTTTGTTTTGTTTTCTTATGTTTAAATTAATGATTCAAAGGCTTTTAGGCTTTTATTTGAGTGCTTAAAGAATCTTTAACAGTAACATGCAATTGATAGTCTTATTTGAGCAGTCGGGACATTTTTTAAATGGATATTTAATTTATTTGAATCACTACTTTAGACATCAGTGTTTAAATCACAACTTTTATCCCATTTAAAGTTTTGTAAATCAGGTATCATGAGAGGACTTTTGTGAAGCCATCTATTAACTGTTCACACATAGACCTGAATGCCCACTTTGATTTACATGTTTAATAAAAAGCCAGACTGATGGCATTTAGAAAGAAAAGAAAAGTCACTGGGATGTTTGAATTGTGATTGTGATATTTGAGTTCAGCTCTGAGTAGAAGTGACACACTTCAGCTTTAAATGTTTAAACACACTTTTTTTTGCATTTTCCAGCTTCATGGCTGTGTTTGCTGAAACTTTATATGTTCTTTTTGTATTGTAATATACATGGGTTTCACTTTATACTCACGTTATAAAGTTCTTGATTTCTCACTTATGGTTTCTTTTATTTGTTTTGTAGTCCTTTATGATTCATCCCATGTGCCAAATTTATACACACTAAATGTCTTTGGTGCAAAAAATTAAAATGTATGCAAAAAAATTGGCAAAGAATGTTGTCTGGGTATATTAAAATACTTTCTTCAGCACAGGATGGATAGTGATGCACTCTCTAGTCTAACTGGAGTCACTATTTGCCTTTGATACAGCCACAAACTCCTCTACTCAAGACAGAGGATATGATGATGTTTTATCATCATATAGTGTTGTTGGGGGGTGCTGGTTTTGGTGCTTTATGAGGACACAAACTGTATAATGAGATGGATTTGACCTTAGACCTTGGTGTAGTTTATGAAGACATGAAAAAATCATACTTAACAGGATCTTTTCAAATTCAAAATTTGCCATGTTTTAAAAAGTAAAAAACACATTATGCCAATAGAGAGTCCTCACAAACCTCCAAAACAAGTATGTGTGTGTATATGTGTGTTCATAATTAACTAAGGATCTAACACTACTCTCCATCAAGTAAAGCTTTCTCCCATTTCTTTCTCTTTCTCTCCTTTTGTCTCTCTTTTCTTTTTTTCTTAATCTAATAAATTTCTGCTCAGTTATTTGAGCTCCTATGTTTATCCATCGCCTCCAGTTCTAATATTTCAACACTGTGGGTTTGTCATTATTATATTTACTTTCAGTATTTCATGACCATTTTAGGTTAAAAAAAATGCTAAACAGAGATTTATTTAAAAAGATGTTAACCCTAAATATGCTACTGTTAGTCCAATCTTCTTCAGGCAATTTTATTTTTTGGAAACTGGTCCTTGTTGAAATTACTTTTAAAAGTAAGTCAAAGTCAATAATTACCATCCTCAAAAAAAAATTAATAAATGTGAATTCTGATAATACATTAAGGTCATTTGTAGTAATTCATTCGGATCTATTCAGGAAATCAAAAACATATATATTTACAGCTATTTATATATATACAGATATATATATATATATATATATATATATATATATATATATATATATATATATATATATATTTTTTTTTTTTTTTTTTTTTACTTTTTTTTTTTTTGAATCACCAAGGACCACATTTCAGCTAAAAATCTTCTTTATCGTTCTAATGAAGGAAAACATCTGTACATCTTGGATGGTCTGCAGGGTGAGTAAATAAACAGCATTTTTTTCATATAGCTCAATAATATTTTTGTTAAAAGCAAGTTTATTTGTTTTTTTTTTCAGTATTCTTTGATGAAATGTATCTCTTTGTAGTATTATAAATGTCAGAAGCTAAAGTTAATTCAAACTTTAGAATTTTCAAGTTTGTTTCATTGTTCAAAAAAAAAAAAAGATTTATTCAAAGTTAAGTCTACACCGCAATTCACCTAAACTATAAAAGTGACTAAATAGCAATGTCAGTTTATTTAACTTGCAAAATCAAAAAACTAAGTTAAATGTTGACTTCATGAGAAAACAGTGGGTTTCCTACAGGTGGTTTGTCAAGACCACTCAGCTGTGTGCAGCACACTTAAAGGGGTCGCACACCGAATGCATTTAAGAATTCTAAGCATAGATTTCTATCAGGGTACGCACACCAGCACAGCAAGTCAGCGGTTGTCTGTGGCGCCCAGCTATGACTTAAGACAATGTTCATATTTCAGCCATGCCATCGAGCGCCATCTGAATAGAATTTTAAATACCATTCGATGTGCGCGTCTGGTGTGTGATGCTTCCAACTGTTATGTGTGTGCAGTGTCATGGCGCTGAGCGGTGCATCCAGTGTGCGACCCGCTTCAGAATTGTACAATGTTTTCTCAGGAACACAGAGTGTTTATAAGAAAGTGTCTGGTGCATTTGGAGAGAAAAAGTGTGTTGCCTACAAAAGGTTTGTCAAATCTGCTCACCTGCATGCAGTACACAAATATTTTCCAAGAATTATAGAGTGCTTATAAGTAGGTGTTTTTTATGCATGTATATACAGTATATTCATGCATTTACAAGTGCGAGTGTGTTCAAATGATTTTCATTGAGTATAAAGTGAATTTAACCAGCACACTCTCAGAAACAAAGGTTCAAAATCACTTGGGGTGCTACATTTTCTACTAGGTAACAAAGTGTAAAGCACTGATGAATACCACTCAAGTGCTAAAATGTATGTTTTAGGTACTAAAATCAACACAGGCTCTTCTTGAAAGTAAATGCCATTTCTGGAGATCGCAAATTAGCCAGAAGTACGTATGGATGCATTTTGTCTTTAAAACGAATGCTATGGGTTGATATGACGCCGTTCCTTTTTGCACAAACCAGCTGACCGCTTACCTGCATATGGACGGCTTTCCTGCTGTTACCAGTTTGTCCAGTGGCATACCATGTACGTTGGAGGACTTGAGAAGTAGAGAGGAGCTGACCACAATGATGGGTTTTGAGTTCAACGAAGAACAGTTCCAGAAAGTTTGTAAGACAAAAACAGAAGCCAAAAAAAATGTAAATAACAGAGTGAGGAAATCTGAAAGCATAGTAACAATTAGATGAGGGATTTTCTATTTCTGGATTGCTTTTTAAAACTGTCTGTTTGGTTTAGGGAAGTGGGTGGCCAGGTCAATCGGTGCTTTTGAAAACACTATTGGTTGGGTTTAGGGAAGGAGGAGGGTGGGTCATTTGATTGGTCAGTCAGTTGACAGCAGCATGAGAACAACATGTGTGAATGGCAAATTTAAGATCTCAAAAAAAGCATAAACAGTGCCCTCTGGTGGATTCAAAACAAAAACTGCAAAAAAACGTAGCTCCCGGGAGCTATTTGGCGCTCTCCAGAAATGTATATAGAAGTACGTAATCAGAATGAGCCTGGGTTGACTAAAATGCACCCTTTGTGTTTAAAAATGTGTACCTCTTTAAAAATTAGCTTCAGCATTTGTTGTCATGTCCCCTGGTGCTAATAAGGTGCATGTCCAAAAGCATTTTTAAAATGACATCTTCCAAAAAATCATGATAATATTATGCTATTTATGGTAAATGTATTAAGGATGTTAATAGAGCATAACACAGGTCAAAGTTTCAGTGAAGCCAGACTGATATGAGGATGTGATTTACTGCCAGAGACGTTTATTTGTTTGGCCATTTCCCCAAAAACCTTTTATGGAGCAAATCCATCAGGCCTGCTGAAAACTGAATACTGGCATTATCTTTGTGATTACACTGTTAAAGAAGCATATTCATGTATTAAAACAGAGTTCAGTTACTTCTTTTTATATCAATTTATACTGTCTGGACTGAACCAAAGGATGAAATCAATCAAGCAGATAAGAAGCGAGAGGGAGGAAGCCCAACAGTTTGAGTCAAAAAAAGCAATAGAAGAAAACACAGAAGAGTTTACACTTGTATCCATCCATGTCCAGTGCAATGAGTTTATTATTACTATATCAACAAAGTGGAAGTGCAAGATTAGGCCACAGGAGAGGAGAAGATTTAAAGATGAGAGAACACGAGCAGGGGTCTGCTTAACTGGAGATCCAGCGCGAGATCCAGATTGTAATAAAAGAATGTGTCTGTAAGACTTTACAAGCCTCCGCTTCGTTCACTCACCAAATAAGGGCAGAAGCAGCGAAGGCCCTTAAGTCTCCAGTCCTGTACAAACACTGGAAAGCCATAAGAGCACACAGGCCTGCCTCCATCTCTGGTGGCTGTCTGATCAGTGTTTCACTGTAGCTCACATCTAAGATCAGTCTCCATTGCCAGAGATGTCATAGCAGAAGATTCTTCTATCCAGTAAACTCCGCTAGACAAAAATGGTCACACATTAGTTATTCCTTTTTTTTTATTTATTTTTTATAATTTAATATTTTAACATTTTTGTTTGATTAAATTTGCAATTCTAAAAAAAAAAGAAAACTAATGAAACATTCTTAACAAGTTAGTGTTCATGATCCTCATTTTGAAAAAAAAAATATATATATTTTTCAGTCTAAACAAGTGAAGTTTTATACATTAATTTCAAGACGAGCATGTAATATGATTGATCACAGCTGGCTTCTCATCTAAAATCACTAATGATCCATTCAGATTGATCCAAGCTTACAATAAATAAACCAATTTTACCCTACTGCCTTAGCTTCGTTTGGAAGAATTACCCCTTCCACCACCATCTCCTCCTTTCCCTCCCTTTTCTAAGGGGAGCTCTCAAGAACTACCTGATCTCGGACACCCTTTATATGCTCATTATCTCCGAGCTCAGGGTTCTCCCCCGGGACAAACCTGCAATTAACGCCAAGCATATCTAAATGTGAACTATTGAAATAGTTATATAATAGTGATCCAGCATTATGGAAGCACTTAAGCGAAAATGTAATTAAATTAAATTTAAATTAGTTTCTTGATAAAGCTGTTTACTTGGTAAAAATTGAACTTTGTAAAAAATGCTGGGTTCAACACAATTGCTTCATGTCTAAACCAAAACGATGATGTTAACTTAATAGATTTTACAAATGTAAGTAGTAAACCTACAACAATTAAGTTGTTCCAAAAATTTCTCAAGAATTGTGATGTGATGAAGAATGTGTGATGTGTTCAAGCAGCACAACAAATAATAATTATTATTGAGTGTATACTGTTTAAAATGTCTGAAAAAAATACTAAAACTACATGATATTACATTAGATTAGATTTTCTTAGGTTAGATTCATCTTTATTGTATTTACACATGTACAAGTAGGAGGCAACCTAATGCAGTTTTGGTCTAACCATGAGTGCAATAGCAGCAAGCGCAGGATATAGGTAGTTATAAAGTGCATTTAAAAGTGTGTGTGTGGGGGGGGGGGGGGGGGTTGGGGGGGATCAGCTGCAATACAAAAGTTGATGTTCATACAGTTATTAATCACCTGTTTCTTAATGGTCTGTCTCTAAAAGTGAGGGGGACGTATCCCCATAACCCACTCCACCATCCCCCACACCCCGCCCCTCAGTGCAATTACAGAAAATCTATGGTGATATTTACAGATGGATGTACTATGACATTGTTACTATGAACAGAGGTTTACAATATTATTTTATTATATTACAATATTTAGATTAATATTCTGAAAAAAATGGTTTATTTGTATATATTTGTGTCTCATATGATGTCAGTATGTTTAGTCTATCCTAAAAAAACTAAATGCAACTGAGCAGCCTTATTCAATACATCAATCAAAGCTGACAAACAAAATTCAATGATATTTGGGTTGATCTTTTAATGTTTATTCAATGCTTGTTTCAGTAAAAATATTGATTTAATTTTAGTCAAAAAATTCTGATCTTGTGAGCATTTTGATCTATTTATCCTCGTTGAAATAACTTCATTTCAGTGTGGAAAACTAATTAAAAATAAATTATAGTTTTAACGTTGTTTTAATGATAGTTTGGTTGATGTTTTAACATTTATTCATTGTTCTGGGATTTCACTTGTTTTGTTTGTTTTGCTCTTTTTGTAGGATAAAAAACGCGACATTTGTATAGTTACTACAGACTTTTTTTGATGAAAAACCCTTGTTCTTAAAACGAAAGT